ACATATACAAGGATTGTATGTGTTGCATTGAATCTCTCTTGGGAAGTGCATCCTACAAAAAGCCAGCTTAATGGGCATCTAGTTTCCATTTCACAAATCATTTGGGAAAGATCATCAATATTTGTAGAGCATTCTAGGAGAAATAAGGAGGAACTTACCAGTAATGTTCTGTTGTGCACCTCAATACATGGACACACTAGATCATTGAGAGCATGGATCCAGCAAATATATGAAAACATAGGATGTCACCTACCAGGTGCAATAGAAAATCATGAAGATTGGAGTGATGAGGATCTGTGCAATTGGCATGCCCTGATGCTCTGTGTCAGTTTTGACAAAATTTTTGTCTTTTTTGTCAGTTGTTACAGCAGCCACCTGGCTATTTATAGCAGCCACCTGGATATTGTTTCTGGTTTACTAGACAAAACTACAACTATCTTGGCTACAAGACAAACAGGAAAAGTTTAAGATGAACATAGAGTTTTATATTGGAACTCATTAGAAACATTGTTAGTAAAATCAAATGGTTTCTAAGATCCAGAAATTTTCACAGTGAAAGGAATTTGTCTTTTTAGCGACATCTTTCCTTTTGTGGTAATGACAGATTTAATAAACTTTTAAAATCGCCACCATTCTTTCTGCCTCTTATACTGTTCTCATACGATTTCTTTCAACTTTGCTCTCAATGGGAACCTAACAAATTTCCATCTTATTGTCTGTTTCTGTCCAAGTCTATATATCATCTTTTCTTGCTTTGTACTCTGCCCTCCTCTACTTTTTCCTATGCAATTGTATGAATATTGACCATTATTTCCCCCTTCCTGTTTTGATACTTCTTTTCTAACCACCACCCCCATTCCCAATCCCTTATTGTTTATTAGCTCAACAGATAATTCTTTTCTCTTTTTTCAAATTACAGATATTTTTTGAAAGACCGTTTCTTGATTAACAACCAATCAGGCAATTCAATGAATGTTCAAAATATAATCAAGTTCTCTTAATTGTCGTTTTTATGATATTTATGAAACTTACTACATTACAAAACTGGGAGGCACCTAGTGTGGATCACACTCACTAATCATTTGTGAGTGACCAGTTTGTTAATCATTACTTCACGATGGAAATAAAAAATAAATGAATAATAAAGCCTAAATTCTTTTAAGGAATTTTTATCCTGAAGACTGAAGTGTAAATCTTACCCATTTTTCTTCTCATATCATTCTTTGCAGAAAAGAAAAGAATTTTCATTGTATTATCTCTGTCCACATCTATGATCACTTTTTGCCTGACTTCCTCCTTTGCTCTTTTCCTCTCGGCTGACTATACATCAGAAAAAGAGAAAAAAAAATTAGTTCCCCCTTCACATTTTGGCACTTCTTTTATACTCTCCACACTTACCCACAATCCCTCTGTGCCTTCCAGCCATGGCTGCTACTATCATGTATTTAGTCCTTCTCCCCTATGCCTTCCCAGTTTCCCCACTTGTTCGCCTTGCCTCTTGGTTCCCCCGGTAGATAAGATTTATTTTATCATCTTTCTTTTTCTAAATTACACAATTATTAAAAATTTTATTGAACTACTTGCAAGCTAAATAAAAAAAAAAATCTACTTTGACATGAATTAAACCAGTGAACTTTGAATCTACCTTTACTGGCTGTTCTTAGTGATGGGGAAATTAGATTAAAATTTGACTTTCTTCGATTTGTAATTAAATTCAGGTGATTGTTATTAGCTGTAGATTGATGATTAGCAAACTAGTCTTGAAAATCATTGGTTATGGAGAGAGTTTAATCCTTGCTAAGCGTCACCCCCTCATTATGATTTCTATACTTAGTAAAGATTAGTTTGATGATCTCTAATCTGTAATTCCTTGAATAACTATGTAGTCTTGATATGAACAACAACAAAAAAAATTCTGTATAAAAGAAAAGTGAAATTTTTTTAATTCATGTGAATCAACTGATTGGAACTGAATGATTGTAAGAATCTGTTATGAAATATTTTTCAGGTTTTTGCTGAAGATAATTACCATTTAGACTGAAAGAAAAAAAAAGAAGCAATGCTGTATTGAGGAGCTTTTTTCATGGCATTAACTGAAGACTTTTATTCAACTGATGCTAAAAACTTTATGGATAATGTCAAAGAATTTGTAGAAATCTCTGATAATATGACTGAAATCAAAGAACTGACTGCCATGCCATGTGGAGACAGAATGTCTGAAAATGAAGAGTTTCATCAATTTCCCAATCAGAATTTAGATACAGGTGACAGTGAAGATAACGATGGATACCTTTCTAATAAGAGGCAGTTAAACATTGCAGTCAGCACAAAAGAAAGTAAACATGCACTTAATATTGGCAGATCAGCTACAGATGATTTAACGAATGCAGAAAGTGACAGGCAGGCAGAGAATAGTCTGGCTGAAGAAGTGGAATCTGATGTTATTTCTGCTGAACTGTTTAGTGATGTAGACAGCAGTGTATCACATGACCCCAAATTTATGGCCAATCAGAATCAAGAATTAAAGAACAGGGATGTACAGAAATGGATCCGAAGTGTGGAACAATCTTCTGCATTTGCAGGTAAACATTTTTGATTCTCTTCCTTTAACTAATATATTATGGTATTTGAAAATAAGCACTGAAAATGTGCTGTTCAAAATGACAGCAATTGTTAGAAAGTTTTAATAGTGAGATGCAATGAAAGAAAAGACTTGAAACAATGTATTAACATTCAATAAAACAGATAAAAAATGCACAGCTAAAATAGAAACCAATGAACCATTTATTTAATCCGTTCCCTTTATATTTTTTAGATGTTCAATGCTAATCTATGATTCATTGATTATATAAATTATATAAATTGCTTTTTGCTGAATATCTTTTCCTGTTAAAAAATTTTATGTATTTAATATAATGGTGAAATGGAAATATATCTCAGAAGAAAAAGATTAACAACAAAACAACAAAGATGGTGATGACAAAGTCAATTTCAAAAGCAAGTTGAAGCAAGATAATCACTTAATAGACAAAGGTATCTGAGTACCTCACATAAAAGGCTTTGACAAATAAGACTGCAATCTAAGAAATGTAGTAGTAAAGGAACTGATTATTTAAATAGTTCATTTTGCTCAGGAAATAATTTTGTCCTAATGCAGATAAATAATTTATTTGTATAGATTATTAAAATGACTAAGGGAAGCAATCACTCACAAATTTATTAACTTGAGTTGGGTCAAATACATATCAAATATGTATAGGAATCTGGCAAAATGATAAGATAAAGAACAAATAGGAAATGTTTATCAATTTGACATGTTTCACTTTTATTAAAGCTTCATCAGGGAATGAGATATGGAGAAAAGAAAGAAAAAATTCTGGTACTTTTACTTTTGTGCTGTTTGATTTCCATCAGTTGATCAGGCTTCATGTGCATTCACCTTGTTAAACAAATGTTAGTATAATTTATGGCATTTCAAATTCACTCTAACACTCTTTCTATAAAACTTGTAAATAAATCAGTTATTTCTAAGACTAGGATCTTTACCACTACGTCTAAGACAATCGGAGATATAATTAGAAAGAAAAATAAATTGAATGCCAATTCAGATGCTGGTACTTATCAAATAAATTGCTTACAATGTAAAAACATTTATATCGGAGAGACATTTCAAAATCTAAAAGCCTGTATCTACAAACATAAAAAAGAATTATGTTTAGACAACTATTTAAACTATCTTATAATACACAGTAACAAAACTGGTCATAAATTTGATTTTACAAATGACACCCTAATTAAAAAAAAAACATAATTCTTTACATCAAAAGTACTTGAGGGATTACTAATGATTATATTACCAACTATAAACACATCAAAAACATATTACATCACCAACTTTTATTGAAACCATTCTTAAAGAATCTAACTTATATTTATCTAAAACAAACCATTTGTACATAAAAACACTCCCAAATCAACATGCAAAAAAGCATGTCTACCAGACATAGATACACACACACACACACACACACACACACACACACACACACACACACACACACACACTTATGAATATACATTGTCATCTGAATCCAACATAGACAAGTTAGAATTCTTATACACTTACATAAAGCAATATTTATGGTTTTTCAGTTAGGCTTGTTAATTTCTTTGAACTTCAAAGGGATGTATCATCTCTCCTTGAATTTGGAATGCCATAAATTATACAAATGTTTGTCTAAGTTGAATGCATGTGAAACCTGATTAAACAATGAAAATTTAAAAAACACAAAAGTAAAATTACCAGAATTTCTTTTTTCTCCATATCTCATTCTCTGATGAAACTTTAATAAAATGAAAACATGTTAGATTTATAAACATTTCCTATTTTGTTCTTTTTATCTCAAGTTGACTACACAAGGGCAGGAAATATAAAAATAAATACACATTAATAATCATTATAGGGTCTGATTGTTTAGATGCACTGGCATACATTGTCACTGATGTTGCAAGTCATTGGTCAGCAGGGATTTTGGGCCTTACAACATCAATACTTCTGTGGCAACCCAATCAATACCTGATCAAATATAAATTTGTCTACCAGTGGTGAACCACAGAAACTTTCATCATGGAGTGCAAATAGTTATGTTCCACTGTAACAACAACAAAACATGCTACATTAAAAACTAGCTGTATATTGTTATAATTGTGTGTATGGTAGCATGAGACAACAGATTAAACAAGTACCACTGTGAGGGGAAAAGAAAAGAAGATAAGAATTATTCAGATAAAATTCTTTGTATTGCCAATGCAGAGGATCAAGGTGGAATATCTCTTTGATGGCAAGAGAAGTAACTTAGAGAAAGTTGAGAGTCGGTAGGGCTTGGAGTTGGTGCATATGTCGGATTGGTTGACCAAGGTCACTGGTGGTGATATTGAGAGTTTGCCCATTTGCTGTGACTGCTCACTGTTGTGAGTGGTATTCTTAAAAGCAGATGGAATAGATCATGACTCATTGTTTTTGGTCATGTTTTTGCTTTAGCAGCAACGTTTATCATTGACTTCTTTTATATTGTATTTATATATATTTTTGTTTTTTGTTAGGAGATTTGTTTTCTGAGCCAGCTATGATGCTGAGAGCTTTGCACAGAAAGTGACCTTTTTATTTTTGGTTTCGCTTTCTTAGCATTCCCATCCAGCCACTTGATGTAGTCTTAATCAGAAAGAGACCTAGTTTGAAGCAGTGAATAACAATACTATCACAGAGTTTAAAAAAAAAATTCTTGGGTCTTCTTATTCTATAATCACATAAGACTCCTGGTTTAACAGTTTGCTTGTTTGAAATGCAAGAAAACAACAAGTAAATTTTGTGACCTTGTAATTGCGAGTTCAATTGCTGGGTTTGGCTGGGCTAAGCAGTGTGTACTTGGACTCAGTAGAAATGGGGCAAGCAATAATACAAGAACTAGATGAGTTATCTCCCCTGGACATGGACAGCGGAACAAGAACAATCTACCTCTGTAGATTAAATAAAGGGTTTAGTTTGAAATTCTCTGAAGGTTACTCAGATTGACAATCATCTGATGAAGGCAGGAGGGCATAGCGACTGAAACATTGTGATAACAACAACAAAGATGGGGACAATATTTTGTGTGCAAATAATGTAAATAAAGATAACTCCTCATTCTAGAAATTGAGACAACAACATAATGTCCATTTTACTTCATTTTACAGTGACCTCTCTGCATTAGTAAGTTGTACTTGTTTCAATTTAGTTACAGCTATTAAATTTGCAAAGAACTTCTACAAGCAACTAATAATAAAAAAAAACAAATATATACCATAGATTAACAAAAATTGCTATTATTTTTTTGCATCAACCTAATGACTAGTCAGCACCAAGCATTGGGATCATCATCCTCTTTCCTTATCCCTCTTTCTCCCCTGCTGGTGGCAGTGGAGATGCCCATGAGGGCTTAGCCTACTTCTTAAGAGTCCTGGAAGGAGTAAAAATAGGAGAGCGTGAGTGGTGGACATGGCTGGGCGAGTCAGGCCCTCCTGTCAACACATCGATTGGATTTCGACAGGCTCAAAAGTCTCCCCCCGTCAGATGGTACTACACCAGGAAGTAGAACTATTAATTTTCTGTCTCCTCTTTAATGACAACAGTAAAATCAAGTTCAGTTTCATCTATGACTAAATATCTTGGCTAACATTATTGATCAATTCTATGATCATCGAATGAGCAAAGAATATCTTGTTATGAAATCATTTTCCATTGGATTTTTCCATTAAAATCTTTCATAGCATTTCTCTTTCTTTTCAAACTCAGTTTTCAAAATGATTGGTAGACACGCTGTGCACACCTAAATTAGAAATATTTTTTCCTTATCTATAATTAATTATAATAGATTTAAGTATATATAATTATCTATAATTAATTATAAAAATTTGGTGTATATAATTTCTTCTCTTTTGTCACTTGATGATAAATTGGTTTTCCAGTTCCAAAAATTCTAGCAAGTGTAACAGCCACAGACTGTATGGCACTTCGGAATATCTATGGAATTGGTCAAACATTGTATCTAAAATGGAGATTAGTCAGCAAAGAAGTTTAAATGTTAGTGAAATAAATTGTAATGTTTCTGTTGTAATTTTTGAGATACAGAATTATCATCATTATTACATGCTTTGCTATTCACATCAACACATTTATTTTGGTTGTTATGCTCACAGCATTTTGGCTTTTGTACCCTCCACCTTTCATTAGGATATTGTTTTTTTTTTTTTTGTTTGTTTTTTTTTAACTTGGTACCCTTCTTGGAATTTTGAATTGAACTCTTTTTTTTTTTTTTTTTTTTTCCCCAATCCATGAAGATTGTTTTTGTACTTTCCATGCTTTCGGGATATTTTGTATCAGCATTCTCTAGTCTCTTTTTACCTTAATCATTAATAAGATTATGTAACTCTTCAGTATTACCAGAGCCAAGGATTGAACACATAACTGCCAGGGAATCCAATATGTATTAAGCAGTGTTTTAATCCACTAGGTCATGGGTGGCCAAACTTGATTAATGTAAGAGCCACATATGATAAAGTCCAGATGTTTGGGAGCCTCATATGATAAAGTTCAGATGTTTGAGAGCCTCATATGATAAAGTCCAGATGTTTGAGAGCCTCATATGATAAAGTCCAGATGATTGAGAGTCACATGACATGAATAAAATTTATACATTTGTTTTTGTTACATGTACATTAACATTAAATTTATGTCTTAATCTAATGGGATCTCAATTCATATCCAGTAAATAATTATAGAGCTTGACATTTTTCTTATTTACTTTTTATATTAACTGCATTGAAAAAAGGTGCTCAGCCAACATATTTCCACAAACCACATATTAAATATCAAAAAGCCTCATGAGGCTCATGAGCTGTGGTTTGGTCATACGTGCACTAAGTTATGCATCAAGAGAGGGTTAGAGGTTACATGGCTGAGATGTGAGTGTAACAACCAAAGTGAATATGCCAGTTTGAATAACAAAATGTATAATAATATAACATTTTTGTCAAATAGAAATCCACTTTACACTTGGGTTTCTTTCAGTAGACATTTCAAGTTGTAACAAATCAGTATTTATTTCCCTCTTCACAATACTTATTTATTGACACACACATACACACATATTGTGTATTTTGACAGCAATCCCTCTTTTATACATGTTTCATTAAAACAACTGACAAGGTACTGCAATTAAGCTTTTTAATTTTTCTCTTCTGGACACAAAGTATGTAAAAACTGTCCAAATGTCTTGCATATTTAAGTGCTTTTGGCTATTCTTTTAGCTATTATCAAGGACAGTTTTTATTTTTAACTAAATGTGTGTCTAAAGTTATAGAAATGTTTTATTTTTCAAATACAGTCAGAACATTGTGGCCATTTTTATAGTTAATATTATTGAGTGTTGGCTTTTCCTTTTTTTATTATTAGGACATCTATTATTTTTAATCTTTTATTTAGATTTAGATGAGGCTATTATATTTGCATTTTCTACTAGTATGTTTCAGATGGAATTTGATAGGTTTTTGTGGGTGTTTAAATGAATTCTAATGGAGCTATGATTGAGTAGGTGTAATGTAAGTCATTTAGATAGACATGGAATAGTATAACCAATGTAATTATTTATGATTTTGATTTGATCAGGAACACAGTTCCTTAAGGGGTATTTGAACTTGTAAATAATGTTGGGTCTTTGTAGTTTTGATTTTGCGGGTGTGTTGTTAATTTTGATGATAAGGTTATCTGTTTTAAATTTTTGGTAATAGATAATTTAATTTTCTTGTTCAGGTCAACTGAAGTTGTTTATTTCTTTATAATATTTCTAAGAGAAAATTTGTCTTGCTTATAGTTAACATGTATTTGAGGCTTTTGTAGAAGATGTTAATTTTGTTTTTATCTCTATGTTCAGTATCATTATTAGTTACTTTGAAAAGAAATAGTCTAATCTGGTGGTCGATGAGGTAGTTAGGAAAACCATTGTTAACTAGCGTCCATTTTACATTATTGAGTTCTTTAAGGAAAAGAGGACGAGAGGATGAATTCTCTTGTGCTCCCTTTAGGAAATGTTTTACAACTACTATTTTATATCTAAGTGAGCATTCACTCTTAAAATTAAGATGGCAACAGTTTCTGCCTTTGGGTTTTTTGTATAATGAATTGGTGAATGTGTTCTTACTGAATTCCACAAGAATGTCTAAGAATGGGAGTTTTTTGGGGTTTTTTTTGACTAAGTTCATAGGTAAAGTTAAGGACTGAGTTTTTTTTCGAATGTGGTTTTGAGATAATCAATTTGTTTGTTTTTTGCTAAAATAAAAGTATCATCTACATGGTGGACATATATTTTGTGTTTAGTGACTTGTTTAAAATATTGTGATTTCTATGTGGGACATGTAGTAGTTAGTTAAGCATGGGCCGAGAGGATTTCCCATACTTACACCATTAGTTTGGGTGTAGATATTGCCATTATGGTCCTACAAAGGGACTTTAATTGTGCAGTTATGCAATAATTTTTTGAGGATACTTAGTTTGATAGATGGAGGTGGAAAGGAATTATTTTTATACACAGTCAATAGTTTGAGCAATGGGGATGTTTGTAAATAAATTTCCAATGTTGAGTGATGCTAAAATATCTTGGATTGGTTGTATAGTTTTTAGAATTTGAAAGAATTCATGAGTTGATGTGATGCTATAATTGGTAGATAGGTATGGAATAATGATATCGTTAAGGAATTTTGACAGATTTTAGGATTTGTGAAATGATGGGTCATAGTGGGTATCCAGTTTTATCTATTTTATATTTCTGTATACGTAGCCTGGTTGGTAGTCTCTGATGTTTTTTTATTTTTAAAGAAACTACATTGACCTTGTTTGATGTTCAGAAAACAATTGTACAAACGCAAGAAAAATTAAATATAAAGCTTAATTGCAGTACCTTTTCAGTTGTCCTTAATGAAATATATATATACAAGTTGCCTGAAGTGCACACAGAATGCTCTTTGTGTTGCAGTTACCAATTTGTTGTTCTTGATAAATGTTTCCACAATGAAAGTGAAACGCTCACCCATCCAATTCATGTTGGTAACTGAAAATGAAATAAAACAAAATTTTTTCGTTCTTTACTCTATTGCACTTTTATTAAACCTACAAATGTGTCTGATTATTTTGCCGCACCATATATATATATATATATATATATATATATATAAGTTACTAATATAATCAACAAAACTATTGCTGACCCACAGTAGGTCATAGTAAATGCAAGCTCAGTACCAGCAAAAGGATAAAGCAACAGGTAAAACCAATAAACACACAACTGATATCAAATTGCTGCTACAAATTTCCTGCCAGAGCATTAATTCTCAGACAAAAGGTAAAAAGATGCAGGATATATATGAACCAGTGGAATTAAACAGTAGTTAACATCACAGATAAGCAAGTGATAATCGAACATACTGTGACGAATTTACAACTTGCTTATCTAAAGTAAAATAAGCCCAATGTTTTGTGTGTTTCACATGTTGGCAGTCATTTGCAATGTGAAAAGCAATAAAATAGTGGTTACCCATCTGTCTTGATTTACAAGTTAAAAATCTACAAGGGTGAAGTCCTACAGAGAGCAAATCATAATATAGTTTAATCCTCTGTTCAATAAGATAAAAAGAAGGAAGGTCTTTATCAATTTCATTGATAAGTACTTTCCTAAATTTTCACAAGAGTTTTAATAGGAACTTTCTCAAAGCTATTTGTTGCCTGGATAACATACTTCAGTTGATGAAAAAGCACAATAATAAAATGTTGAAGGCTCTTGATGCTTATTATAATTCCAGCTTCACATGTGGCTGTAGAATTAAACAAAAATTGTCCTTTGGATAGTGAATGCTCCATGCATAATGTGGTATACAAAGTTACTGTAAAGGCAGATAATGGCCTGATATATTGTAGATAATGATGGACCTTGGAAGCAGAGATTTTTTTAATCATCAGACCTCCTTCCTGAGAAGGCCCTATGAAAACAGCACAACACTGTCAAGATGCACTTGGAAACAGAAGGACAAATGTGGATAACATCTGAAATGAAGTGGAAATTTGAAAAAAAAGAAGGCATTTACTTGAATGGAAGGTTTCAAAAGATATAATTTGTGCTTGAAGGAGAAATTAAATATTTTTCTGTCTCAACAGCAGAGCAAATTGTTGAGTAGAAGATCTGAGATAATTTCCAAATATCTATCTGTTATGCCATCTACCCACTTGATTAGTAAATAGTTTGATTATCATGTGTGTGTTGGGGAGAGTCTATGACTGACTCTTTCATTACTATTCATTACCTAATGATTATTGTTCTGGCATGAAAATTGTATTTGTTTTAAAGTCATTTTTTATACAGTTGTTCACCCAATACAAGGCCCAAGAGCCACACAAGGTAGAGGATTACTGAATGATATTGTTAAAAGGGCATAAAAGGAGGAACTAAGAAGTGCATATTATATGGATATGTAAGATAGATAATGGCGTTGACCCTAGACTTGAAGAGTTTTTAAGATCGTGGTGTTTGGAGGAAGCATCATCTGGGGAGTCTGTTCTACAAAGTAACAGTTTTGGAGAAGAAACTGTCTGAGTGGAATTTATTCCTTACCCTGTGGAATACAAAGGGAAATGTGAATGAGTCATCTCTGTGTATTTGGCAGGGTGAGTCTTGGTTGTGAAGGTCTAAACTGGTCTGCACATTTGCCATTAAAATAGCAATAGAGTAACGAGACACTAGCAACATTTTGTCTGTGGGAAAGAAGCTGTAGGTTGGATTATTCAGCACCTGCAAGGCAGTGTACTGATATGCACACACACACTCGCACGCGCACACACACACACACACACACACACGCATGCACACATACACACACACGCATGCACACACACACACACACACGCACGCACACACACACACACACACACATTTCATAATTTAAACATTTTTTTTCATATATTGATTCTGTTGAGACAATTTGCTAATTTTACATCTAATGAAGGATGTTTTGTGCAAAACTGAAGTCAGAAAAATTCTTTATGATTTGAATATTTAATTTTACACATTTTTATTTCCTCTTAAATTTATAAATGCTGGATGATATTTGGACACTGAATTGTCATTTAGAAAAAAGACTAAAAAGTTAAAGATTTTGTGCCAATGAATGTGTTGGGATGTGCCTTGATTTTAAATTCTTTAAGAACCAGAAATGAAATACTTTTCATTATTACACACACACACACACACACACACACACACACATATGCACGTATATAGAAATCGTATTGTAATCTTTTTCTTACTTTTTCTCACACGTATTGAGTCAGCCTATTTTTTGGTTAAAATTTCATAATAAAGAAAAAATTCTTTAAACGAAAATTTGGTCAATTTTTCAATTTATCATTGATACGACTCACATATGACCCCCCCCATACACACTGAAATTATAGACTTTTTATTTTTTTGTTCTTGTAGTTATTGATGGATAATCATTTAGCATTTCCTTACGCTAAAATTTAGTAAGTAATATGATTATTTAGTTTATTGGTTATTTAAGAAACATTTAACTCATTGGTTCCTATGGAATCCCAATTTTGTCACATCTATTCTCTAGGTTTTGATTCTGTCACATCTGTTGTTTTTTACATTTTGATGCTGTCACATCTGTTGTTCCATACGTCTTGATTCTGTTGTTCCATATGTCTTGATTCTGTCACATCAGTTGTTCCAAACTTCTTGATTCTGTCACGTCTGTTGTTCCATACGTCTTGATTCTGTTGTTCCATATGTCTTGATTCTGTCACATCTGTTGTTCCATACATCTTAAATGATACCTCTTGAACCATATATAAATATAATCAGAATTTGATGCAAAATAATCAATGCTTAAAAGCAATTATTCTGTTCTAAAGAATGTTTTACTGTCATTTTGTTGTTCCATTTTTTTTGGCTCATTTTGATTGCATTTTTCACTTTACAGAAAATTGTGAGCAAATGATGGAAGGAAATCAGTAAGTAAAACAATTTCTGACTTGGTAATCATGAAGATTGGGCAAAAAGATATCTTATAAAAATTCCTGCTTGGTGGCACATCTAGTTGCATTATTTCCATCAGACTCTATTCTGAGTGTTGCGGGGCCCAGATCAAAGCTTTCGATATGGAAGGACAATTTTCATGGAAAAATTTCTGCTACATAATAATCTATCCCCATTTGAGACAACAGCAGACGAAATTAGACTTAGTATTTCAAAGTTCTTACATCCAGCATTTATCCACACTCATCAGCTTGAACATGTGCTATTTTGGGGCCTATTTCAGAATGACATTCTTGTATAAGTGACCCCAGCAGAGCCAGGTGACCCCATTTAGTGGACAATATGTGTGTAACAGAAAGATGACTCTAGCTGTCAAAAATGAACTAAAACTTCCTAACTGGAATAGTTGGTTGCATTTTGGGCCATTTATTTGCAATGTCATCAAATATAATTACTGACAGATGGACACTTTATGTGAAGGCAATGTCCTCCTTTATCTCAATGAACCTTATCTACTGCAGATGACATTATCCTTTATGTCTTAAGAAAGCAGCAGTTTTAACAGATATATTTAAAAATATAACATTTAATGGTTAGCAGCCCAGAATGAGAAATCAGCAATTTGAATTCTAGTCAAGTGTGTTACATTCACCTTTACATAAATGCACCCTTGGGAAAGGGTTATGACCTTATCTCTTCTTCCTCCAGCTATGGGTTAAATAGCAAGGCAGAGTGTGCTCTCTAGCTGTGGTTGGCAACCAGTTGAGAAGAAAGACAAATCTGAATTCAAAATCCAGCCATTTGAAGCTGTACAAAAATGGTTTTGTGCATATACTGTGTCTGTACAACAAAAAAAATCACAATAGATTTCAACAACTATGGATGATCCCACTCTTGACACCAACAGGCACAAGAAAGGTTAAAAAATGAATGCAAAAAACGGGAGATGACCAGTATTTCTTGAATCTTCTATATTGAAATGAGGCAATAGCAATTTGACCTTTGGTATCTTTTGGACAATCAGTGACTTGGTTGTTTGAATGTTCATTCAAATAGGCAACCAGTTTCATCTGACACTTTACATATTAATGGAGTATTAGTGAAGTGGTCAATATGTTGGAAGTGAATCATAACCATTTTCATTATTTACATTCAATATAAGATGAGGATATTAGTCCAAATGTAAATAATGATAACTCCTCATTCTACAAATTCAAACAAGAATGCCACTTTCATTAAACACCCTTTACTTTTAATCATTTCACCCCAAGGAATGTAATAATGTCACTAAGACGCAGGGGCTAGTAAGAGTGAAAGAGATTGAGAAAATTTTAGAATGAATTGGAAACTCACTCCTGAACACGAAACAAGGGAGATAACTCATAGGTACATAGGTCAATAGGCAAAAAAGCTAAATTTTCAGCCATCAAAGATTTTTTAACATATCTTTTGAGTGGAATGTTGATAATTTAAGAAAAGAAAAATATCAAAATGACCCTTGCTTCCTTTCTTTGTAACATTTATAAAAATCTGATACCATTTGTTTGTTGTCCATAAAAAGGCAGAGATCAAGAGAAGCAGTTAAGGGATAAAAACTAAAATCTTTTGTCAGAGTGTCAATGTGTCTTTAACATTTTGTGACAATAGGGACAATACAAGGGAGTGCTGAAAAGTTCTTGTCTTAACCAAGAAAAAAAAATTAAAATCTTTAATTCTTAAGTCATATTTTGGGGAGGCTGGTTGACTTGAGAACTTTTCAACACCACACTCAAAGAGAAGGATCTTTAGTTATCGTTTCCATCTGTCAAAATAAAAGGATATTTCAGATAAAGTATGATGACCTCCCCCCATTGTCTTTTCACTGTTCTATTTATTCTCTATTCATTTGCAGGCAAACGGAACTACCAATTCCAAAGAGAGACCATCAAGAAAGGATTGCTATAGAGACACAAACTGATTGGGAATGGGTCATAAGTGCAGTTGCCAATCAGTCATTGAAAGGTAAATAAATATCTTTGGCAATGTTTCACCTTTGTGTCCCCCCCCCAAAAAAAACAGTGTGTCAAAAGGAGTTATTCCCTTGACACCACTATTACTGGATACACTTTTGACTCCCTCGGTAATGTTTATTTACAAGATAATAAAAATATGTGAATGAAGTTCAATGCAATATTTATTATTTTATAAAGATTTATTTAACATTTTATAAAGAAATTGTAGTTGGAAAAAAAATGAAAAAAAACTGTCAACTTATAGTAGCAATAAATGTCTGCAATAGATTTCTTCTGTCTCTCGACCACAACACCTGTAGCCAAATCACAATTCAAACGATAGTCCATCGTAACAGTCCAACAGGCAACATAGAAACGACAAAATGGGGTCACAAATCCAACATTCACTTCTCACCAGCAAAAACGCATATTTGTCCACCAAGCTCAGAAAATCAAGTCTCTCCACATAAGCGAAAAACAATGGCTTTTATTCACTGAGAGATCTTTCTGATTGATCACGTCATTCAGGGGAGGGAAGAACATTAGCATAGATTCTGGTCCCTAAAGTAGATTTTTGCTGACTACTTTTTGGCAATTTTTCTTCGGCAGATCACACACAAACACAAACTCTTTTTCGAGGTAGCTGATTACCTCTTTCACTTCAGAAATAAATTTGAAAAGAAATCTTTTTATTCAGAAATTTATAACTAAATTACAAAATTATTAAAACCAACTGCAATGCAACATTTATTATTTACCATTTTATAAATAATTATGAAAACACATTTTTTATTCAATAAATAAATAGTGTTTAATATTTTTGTTGTCAATTCTCAAAAATAAAGAAAATGTATAAATCCATTTTCGTATGTTTGGGTTTTATTAAAAGCCCTTATGAACAGCTACCCCAGGCTGTGCTCTCTCATTGCACTAGAGAGAGGGATCAGTGCTTGCACCAAGGACAGTGCAACCAATGGTTGCAGGGGATTGGGGAATTTTTGTTCCTAGCCTGGGTGTACATGCTTGGGATCCCCACATTAAACCAACCTTGTGTCACAACATGATTCCTTGGGTGGGTGAGGGGTGGTTTGAGTAAATACCAAATTACTATAAAGTAGAGCTGGTGCTTTTTAATCTCAGAATTCGTGGGAGAATTCAGCTCCAATTTCACATTTATTCATATAGATTCCATAATATAGGTTTTACTTAATTAGCTATTATGTTTCTCTAACTCTTCAAATGTTGAATGTATAACTAATTCTAATTTCTATTTTCCCATCTTTACACTATATCAATTTTATCTCATGAATTGTTCCCTGTTCTGTCACCTGTGAAATAAAAATAATTATTTGTACAGAAAATAAGGATCTATATACATCAAGTCATCTTTAAATTAAGTGGCAGCAGGAGAATTATCATGGAACTTTGAAAAGATAATCTTAAACATTAATTTAATACTTAAATACAGTGATCAATTTTGAGTTCTTCTGTAGTTTATTGATGCCTATCACTTTTTGGTTCCTTTTTCTCTGAGAAGCCAGTTATTCTCTATTGTTTGAGTATGAAATAAAGATTTGCAAATCAACAAAATTATCTCCATGAATTTATAACAATGAGCTTGTACCCCCAGATATCATTTTTAGTTTTTAGTCCATCAGCAGACCAACCATCCACTAATGATCATAGGAACCTTGTTCAATATGCCTTTGGATGACTGTTTCTCAATCTAAAAGGAATAAGTTCTACAAAATAATTAAATTCCTCGGAAATTTTTTTCAATTCATCCAAAGAACCATTATTGATGAAGCATGCAAATTATGGTCCCTGTTTTATGGCCCCAATTCTAGACTTTTAAACATGACTTTTGTGATTCGCATCATGCATATGATGTTTTAATGATTAAAGGGAAGCTACTCCGACGGACGTTTACACGAACGCACGAGAAAATTGCGCAACTCATTGAACATATTTTTTTTTATGATTAACTATTCCTTCTCAAAAATTCACTGAAATCATTTCTTCAAAAAGAAACTTTTAATTTTATTTACTTCTTTCTCTTACACACACACACACTACTTAAAGAAAAATATTCACGAAAACGAAACTCTTTGAATAAATAAAAAATGCAAAAGTTTTTTATTTATAAAAGAGTTTCGTTTTCGTGTGCATGTTGACTTTTTAAATTATTGGATTTTTATAATTCATAATTATTTTTATTGTTTCTAATTTTCATTGTATTAATTCTTTATATGCAAGAAAAACACACATTTTAAGGACAACTGAACACTTTAAAAAAATTATGATGTGAACTTCGCTGCGGATGTATTTTTTTTTTCACTTGACTATTTTTTTTTTTACACACATCATTCGTAAAAAATACTTTGACGGACGAGTATTCTTTAAGAACAACAAGTAAAATTTCAATTTTTTATTTGTGCTTTGAAAAAAATCATACTAAAATAACCATTTGTCGTTGACCCAAAGATAATGCCCCTAGTGTAGTACCCACCCCCAAATGATGCCCGTTTTAAAAAGTATAATGAAAAACGTTTCTTGAAGTTTCATTTTAGTTTTAATTTCAAGCTAATAGATTTAAATTTAATATTCTCAATAATCAAAATACTTTACTGTATTTCAAACCAAATTTAATTTTTTTTCTTTTCTGATTATTAGTAATATCGATAAAATAGTCCAATATATTTTTTGGTGCTAGGGTTTCCCCCCGTCATGAAACTTTGATACCCTCCTCTCCAGTACATGTCAATTTCAAAGTTTCCCAATCTGGGGGCCATAAACACTGGCAAGAAAATTGGTGGGGAAGGGCAGCACTTTTTTAAATTACCGGAAATCAGGGAATTATCCAATTTAAATGAAAATTTCAATATATATTCATTAATTATTTACTTTTATAATGAATAGGTATTTTTTTTATTTTAAAAAGAATCTGAGAAAATTATAGTGGTGAGGTAGTTGCTGAAGGTGAGATACCAGGTCATTACCAATAACACTGCAGATTTTTCTTTGGATTTTATCAAGAATATCTAGATGTGCTATACATTTAGAGCACTAGATCATATGTGGCAGCAATATTCAATGCATGGACAAATGGTAGACTTATAAATATGTAAGATAGATAATTTTTCTCCCCAGAATCTATCATGGCAATGTGAACCAACTTTCCCATCAGCAGACCCAGCAATTGATTCAGTATAATCTTTCCACTTCATGTCAACAGAAAACATTAATCAAAGAAGGCACAATTGAGTCACTCTCCTGGAGGTTAGCATCTGCCATGCTGATGGAAGGCAGAAAGAGTTCTCTCAGACGATTAATGGAGAGCAGTTTCATTTTGGAGGCACTAAAATTAATGAGTCATTCATTGCTCCAGATAGCAACATATTGTAGATCATTTCTGAGATCAGCTGCCAATTTGTCCTTATTGAACTGATCAAACTTACTATTAAGACAAGATTAAATCATTGTTTCATCAGTATAGATACTGAGTTGACTCACAATATGTTTGATGTTGTACTCTTTGGCCATCTTCAGGCATTTGTTATTGTATTCAGTAATTTTCTTCGAAGTTTGAATGCAACCCTTTATTAAATCCACAAGTGAAGAGTGTTCTCATTTCACTTTCATGCTTTGGAATCTGTAGTGCTGAAAAGTCACATACCCTGGTTCAATGGTGGTGGTAGAATAAACGACACAAAGGTGAATAAAACAGCTGTGCATTAACTGGCAGAGAGGCACAGTGGAGTAATGGATAGCAGCTCGGATTGACGAATTGGAGAGTTGAGTTCAAATTCTAGTCGAATCCATTACATTAACTTATGTGTTAATACCCTTGTGAAAGGTATGAATGTTCTTCTTCTCTCCCCAACTATGGCTAAATAGCAGGACAGACTGGGTTCTATAGCCTTGGATGACAGCTAATCTATTGCAGAAAGAAATGGCAACCTACTGCAGGAAAAAAAAATCTGCCTTGTCAGTCAGGTAGTGAAAGATATATGATTGTCTAAGTGTGTATCATGCATGACATATAACTGACTGATTAACTGGCATGAGTTATCTCCCCTAAACTTAGAAAGTGGAATGCAAACAATCTTTGACTGTGGATTGAATAAAGTGTTTGGTTTGAAATTTTGAGAAAGTTATGATGTATGACAACAGATACCCAAAAAGGGTAGAATAGACAAAGTTTTGTAAATATAACAACCATAATGAGCAAATCTAGTCTGAGTAGGAAAACTTATAAAAAAGAAATCAGGATTCAAACATTAAATGAATCATTGGTGGCTGATTAGGTAAAAAAGTGTCTGCATATATCAGAATCAGAATAACAATTTTTACATGAAGCATTGATCAGTAAATATGAAAAATTCTTCAAAGGTTTTTCTTTCTTGGCTAAATTTTCTGTTTCTTTTAAGAGGAGGAGAGGGAAGAGATGGTAGAAGAAGAGGAGTCAGAGGAGTCGGGAGAACAAGATTCATCTGATGATGATGATGATGATAATGATGATGATGAAAGGCTTTTGTCTTTTAATTCCACAAAGGTTGGTACATTTCAGTAATTTTTTTTTCTGGTATTATTTTTTTGTCTTTTCTGAAACATTTAAAAAAACTTTTTTTATTCACTCAATATAAGGCCTAAGAGCCACTCAAGTTAGAATGTTACTGAATGAGGCTATTGAAAGTAAATAACATTGGCCCAACTAAGAATCCCCCTAACCCATTGGCTCCCAAGCCTCATTTCCCTTGTTGTCCCAGGGTCCCAACACTATATCTTAATTAATTTTGGCACAAGCTTCTTTATGCTTTAACTTTATTTCATATAAGAGGCAAGGATATCATAGCTAGTATTTTTTTTACTAATGACCCATGGATGTGTCATTTGATACCTGAGTCCATTTTACAACCCAGAGTCCTACACTGCCCACCCATGGGTCATTGGAAAATTCCCAATATACAAGTATTACATTGACACTAACTCTCATTTTCTATATTCTGAAATATTTAAATGATTTTTGAAAAAAATGTGGGGGTCTGGCATACCCAGGATCTCATAAACATCGTAACATCCCCACTCCCAATAATCCTAAAAATGTAATGGGCTGAGAATTTTCCAGCATCATTTCACATTTGTGGCGAAACTGAAACATGACCCCTGTCTAAGTGCCATATCTTAAATTCAAGCTCCCCCGTTGATATATACTCACCCCCATCCACCATAAATGGCCTTTTGATGCTCTATTATGTGCATCATGCATCTGCATTTTTTTTTTATAAAGTTTCTGATGAAGCTAAGAAGAAAGAGAAATATGTTAAATTTATAAAAATTTTCCTATTTGTCCTTTATTTTATAATTTTCTTCTTTTCAGGATTTTAATTATATAAAAATTGTCCTTCGACTGTTTTATATATCCAAGGGCTTTCAGTTATACTTTTAGCCATTATCAAAGATGAAACTTATTTTACTTTTAACTGAATATATAGATTGTTTTATTTATGTATCTGGAGTTATAGGAATATAAAGATGGCAATTTGGTCCTAGATTTATATAATTTATGTCCTGAAAAGATTCTTTCATGAGACTTTGCTCAGTTTAGCTAAGTCTGGAACAAGGCCTAAGTCAGAGGTTCTCTTTGGTAGCAAGTCACATGGAATTCAGCAGAGTGGTTGTCTCATCTGGAACAACTAGTTTGATCGCTTCAATGTTCTGTTTATATTGACTTCACCCAAAACTGACATGGAGATTGACATGGTTAAGTGCACCCAGTGTTTCCCCCTATCTTCCAACAAGAGCCCCTTTGTTGTCTGGGTCTGGAAAATTAATTATATCTCCAATTTTGAAGAGATCTTTTTTCCTATGGGTAGCGGTCACAGGATATCGATCAATCTAACTCCTGCCTTCTCTTATTTGTGCCTCACACTAACACTTCCCAATGGGTGGAGACAATTCCTCTGTTTTTCTTGCTATTTCACCTGCACTTGTCACTTTGGTTGTCCTTCAGTCAAATCTGGTTCTCAACCGTGTGGCATGGCTTCATAGTCATTAATTAAAATATTCATTTTAATTCCTCATCAGCAAAATTTCTCAGCTTGGCCTTGCTCATAAAATCAGAAACTTACCATCCGCTGCCTCCAGTCTATCACCCCACTACATTCTACCAGGGGACATTTTACTCCAAGCACCCTCAGTTTGGGTTTTTACATAAAGAAATTTTATCTTCTTGACATGTTGACAATTTCCACCTTTTGATAGGCAAATAACTATATTTTCTCCATTTGTCTTCTTCCTGAAATCACCAAACTTTATCTCTTGATTTATGTTTTCGTAAATGGCATTCTTTAGACAGAGTCATCAATCAGCTGTCAGCTAAGTATCGCAACATGTCCTCTGTGGTAATATCTTGTAAACAGAATTACTTTCCTTTGAGTTATCTCTGCCCTAAAAAAAAAAGACTTTTGAAATTAAAAGAAACCTCCTTTGCTTTCTCTCAGTCTGTTCATCATTCTATTCTTTAACCATTTTTTTGTCTTGTTCCAAACTATATTTTATCTTTAACCTTTTCTTTCCATTTGCCAGTGTCACATAGTGTCACATCTCTATAGTGTCACATATATGCCAATTGTCAAAATTCATCAATGATATTATTAATCCATATCTACCTACCAATTAAAGCATCAAAACAATTCATGAATTTCTCCAAATCCTTAAAACTACAAAACCAAACCAAGGCATTTTTGGATCACTTGACATAGAAAATTTATTTAGAAATGTCCCTGTCAATGAGACCATTGATATAATCCTTAAACTCTGTATATAAAAATAATTCAATTCCACCTCCATCCATCTACCCATCAAACCCAATATTTTCAAAAAATTATTACATGCCTGCATAACTAAAGTCCCCCCCTACACCATAATGGCAAAGTTTATAGTCAAACGTAAATATGGGAAATCTCTTGGCCTGTAGTTTTCTATTACATGACCCATGTGGAAAACAAGGTATTTAAAACCAAAAATATATGTCTCATATGTAGATGATATTTTTTTTATTTTAGTTGAGAACAAAAATGAAATTGATAATCTCAAAACTACATTTGAAAAAAATTCTGTCCTCAACTTTACCTATGAACTTAGCCAAAAAAATAAACTCCCATTCTTGGATGTTCTTGTGGAATCTAGTGATAATACATTCACTACTTCGTTATATAAAAACTCCACAAGTAAAAAAAACTCTTGCCATCTTAATTTTATTAGTTAATGTCCTCTCAGATATAAAATAGGTGTTATTAAAAATTTCCTTATGTGAGTGTCCAAGAATTCATCCTCTTGTCAGCTTTTCTTTAAAGAAATTAATAATATGAAACAAACATTTGTTAATAACAGTTGTCCAAACCGTCTTATAGATTACCATATGAGATGTTTAGCTTTCTAAGGTAACCAATGACAACACTAAACATACAGGAAATAACATTAACATTTTATACAAAAATCAAATGCATGGTAAATATAATCAAGTCGAATGTTTATTTAGAAACATTATAAAGAAATACACAACTCCAGTTGATAAAAACAAGAAAATTAAATTCATTATTTATTATAGAAAATTTAAAACTGTTAACCTCATCGTCAAAAATAATAATTCATCTGCAAGATCCAAATTACAGTGAACCAATATTATTTATAAATTTTCATGTCACTTACATAGAAGCATTATTAATAAAAAAGTAAAAGGCAACATTTAATAATATCAACTTTGAACACAATGTGCTGACCATGTTTAGAATATAAAGTATTCATATAACTCTAGATGTATACATAAAACAATCCATATATTCAGTTAAAAGTAAAAATAAAATTCACCCTTGATAATTGATGAAAACACTTGGATATATAAAACATTTGAACAATTTTTATATAATTTATGTCCTGAAAAGAAAAAGAATTATAAGAACAAATGAAAAAAATTATATAAAAAATGTAACCACAGCAACACCTTGCCTGTCTTTTATAACAAATGTTGCATATATATATATATATATATATATATATATATATATATATATATATATTATAAAAAAAAAATGATTGATTTCAGCTACATAAGAGTTCTCATGTTTCAAAAACAAGAGCTGAAACCCTCAATATAATTATCAAAATTAAATTGAATTAAACAGCTCTCGTTTTTGAAACATGAGAACTCTTATGTAGCAAAGGAATCATATTTTTTTTTAAAATAATTATAATTTAAGCTCTACTTCTGTATGGAGCACTGTTTTTTAAAAATAAAAACAAAAATAATAAAGAACTCTGGATTATTTACCTAACGTGTTCTTTCCTATTTTTCTACATACTAGCACACACACACACACACACACACACACACACACACATATAATATGGAAAGAAAAAAGTGAGACCAATTTTACCCTTCATGATTAAAAACAAAGAAAAAATCAAAAAACAAAAAAGAACCAGCCGACTTGTTTCACCCTCATTCAACAGAGCTGGAATCAAAGGAATAAATGTCACAATATACAATATAAAAGAAATGTAATGTATTATAGGCAGAACAATCAGGTTGAAATAATGTCCAGCCCTAACAGAGGGAAGGCTGTTTGGACCTGATATAGATTGTTTCTAATGCCTTTAAATCTAAGAATGAGTAAGCATGACTCAGGATGGTGAATTAGTTTGTACTGAAATTGGTGGCACAATTTGCACTATTTATAAGATTCTCCGTGATGGCAGAACCATATGTGCTGTTGACTATGTCACCCAATTGGAATGTACTATTTCTAATTTTCTGAATTGGTAAATCACATTGTTAATATGATGTGGGGAGGTAGAACATCCTTTTGAGTAGACATCCATGCAGACACAGTAGAAAAGACAACATGTACATTAAGTGAGAAATAACAAGTTTCAACTACAGAACTAATCTGTTTGGTAAATTTTCCACTTATTGTACTCAACCAAGTCAAATGCAAATAGATAGGGCACTTAGTAGCCATACTCAGTATAAGTTTAGAAAAACTAGAAATTTTCTTACTCCTGACCGACTTAATTACATCCAACGGGTACCTATTATTAGCTAAAGTTTTGGTAATTGTTTTTAACTCTTCATCTAATTTAGATTTTGAGCAATTTATTAAAGCTCTATGTTTTAGGGTATTAATTAAATTTTCTTTGTTTGTTGGGACAGAATGCATCCCACCAAATATATAATCTGGTAAAAGTTGGTTTGCGCTAAATCAATGTGATGTAACCAGATGGAGTTCTAGTTACCAAAACATCCAAAAAAGATAAAGTGGAATTGTTTTCAATTTCCATTGTCCAACTTAATGCCAGATGCATACCATTATGTAAGGAAAAAATTTTTTAGCCTCCATTACATTCTCAAAGAGGCAAAATATGTCATCAACATAATGATTATACATTAACAGTATGGCAGTTCCAGAAAATAGATGATTTTCATGGAAACCCACAAAAATATTTGCTAAAGTCGGTCCCAGGATTGAACCCATAGAGACTCCATCGATTTGCCTATACATTGTGTCATTGAAACTAAATTCAATTGACATAACAGCAAATCTTATTAACTCAACAAATATATTTTCAGAAATGGCAGCTGGAGATATCTGGCTACGATACAGAAAATCAGTACAGATATTAATCATTTCTGAAATAGGGACATGGGTAAAAAGGTTGTTAATGTCAAAAGAACACAAATTTATTAGTAAAATTAGATATCTGAATATCTTTTGCAAAAGAGAATGAATCTTTTATGCAATATTTATTATAATGTTCTAATATGGGTTGCAATAATGTGGCAATCTATTTAGCAACCTTGTGTTGAGCTGATCCCACCATAGATAGAATTGGTTTTAATGGAATATCTGCCTTATGGATTTTAGGCAAACCTTATAGATATAAATGAATAAAGCCTGAAGGCCTAATTTCATTAGCTTTGTCAGAAGGGAGGACACCACTTTTTATCCATTTGACTAATTTTCTCTTGGAATCTATTTTCCAATGTCACTGTTGAATCATAACTGGACCTAATTTGATAAATTTTGATATATTATTCAAGATTGTCATCTTTTTATCAACATAATCACAATAATTAAGTACGACTCTTGAACCTTTGTCAAGTCTTGTGATTACTAACGATTCATTCTGATGCAGAGATTTAATAACAGTAGTGTTCTCTGCGTCATTTAAATTCAGAATGTGAAATAGATGTAGTGGCATAGCAATGGGCAAGATCATTAAGTCTGGCCTTAAGGTCCCTAACTTTGGTGTCAGGAATAGGTTTCAGTCTCCCTATTTGGGCATTAAGAATTTCAAATTCATAAAAAATTTCCTCACACCTGACAAAAGCTGGTGGCCTAGAGAAATCTAATCCATGACCCAGTATTGTACTTTCAGTAGGAGACAACTGATGAGAAGACAAATTAAGGATGTTCCCAACAACATCAGAATTAGCAGAGCAACCAAATTACTTATATATTAAACATTGCAACTTCTTGTGAAACTGAATTGACAGCCTTTTACAACTACGATCATTAACAATTCCAATGTACTGTGAAAAACAGATTTTATAACGCCACAAAAGGTTGTCCACTGATTCCTTCCAAAGATGTAAATATCTAGTCTTGTAATAAGTAAAATTAAGAGTTGATTTATCCAAAAAGTTTTGGATAAAGCCCTCCCCCCCATTTTCTGTCCTGGATGTAAATGTGCCTTATTGTTTTCCACCTTTTAACATATTACATTTCTTTTATATTTTATATTGTGACATTTATTCCCTTTGATCTCAACTCTGTTGGGTGAGGGTGAAACTGGTCGACTGTTTTTTTGGGTTTTTTTTAAATCATGAAGGGTAAAATTGGTCTCACCTTTTTTATTTCCATAATAAAGTTCTGTACCCCTAAAAAAAAAAATAATTATGAAATATAAGTGTGTGTATATATATATATATATATATATATATATATATATATATATATATATATATATATATATATATATAGCAGCATGGCAGCCCCGTTGCCCGTGCTTGATTCAAAATCGTATGACTCATACACCAAAATATTTTTGCCCTTCCTTGCCTTTAAAGGAGTGCCCTTTGCCGTGCTGATGTTGCTACATGCCTTACTTCTTGCCTATCTCACACTACAAATTTTTTCTAAGCTCTATAATAAACTTTAAATCTGTTACAAAAAAAGAACTAAACAAAATGAACGCAAAATGGTCAGCTTTAAAAAAGGACTCGTAACTGGAGAAACCGAATGAAAAATGAATGTTAACAACAAATACTTTTTCACACCCAACCCAGTTCTGCGGAATCAGAATCAACGTTGAGTTTAAGCAAGTGAATGAGCCAATTGGAGTAAAGTGCCATGCAGATTTAAATTTTTCCCACTTTTGACAAATGCAGCTATCAATTTTTTTTTTTTTTTTGCATGCTGGCATGCTAGTTAACATTCGTGTCAGTCAGCTGTTGGCTCTCACGCTGGCCAATAGAAACTTCATGCCTATTCGTGGCAGCCAGCTATAGGCTCTCACTCATAGGCCAGCAGAAAATGGCCATAAACTACATGAAAACTGCCGTAGAAGCATGAAAAAATTGATTATTTCCACTATCAATGGGAGTTGGGAAATGCAAAGTTGGTCTTGGCCTTCTTGCTAACTTGGAGCATGTGCATGTAAATTTTGGTGCAAATCCGTCGAAAATTGCAGCTGTGCAGTCGTTACACACACACACACACACACACACACACACACACACACACACACACACACACACACACATCCTGCCTTTTATAGATATATATATGTGTGTGTGTGTGTGTGTGTTGGAGAAGGTTGGATGAGCATAATGGGCAAATATTGTGATAGCAATAACAAAAATGAGGACAATAGTCTGCATTTAAATTATGATAACTCCTCATTCCAGAAATTCAGACAGAAAGCGATGAGTTAATTAAATAAATAGATAACAACAACAAAGATGAGGAAAATAGTCCACATGTAGATAATGATAATTCCTCATCCCAGAAAATGTCTGGATAATCTTAGAAACAAAGTAACCATGACAGCCACTTAATGTTCTACTTTCTCTTGCTATTTTCTACATCATGACAATTTATCATATTCTTCCTAAAAATTGTTTCTCAAAGGAACCCCTCTAGAAAACCATAAACTTTGTTGCCCCCGACCCTGAGAGGCTCCATGAGGAAATCCTAAAAATTGTTGCTTGAATGAATCCTAAAACTTGAAGGATAACAAAATCAGAGTTGATATTGTCTTATTTTTTTTCCATTTTTTTTTATCCAGTCTTCAGAATTGATTTCCTCCTCCACACCCCCATCTGTGCGGGAAGTTGCTACCCCACCTTGCTTACCAAATGTGGGCCCACCTAAAATTTTGCAGGTAACTATCATTGCTTTCTGCCTTTCTTTTTCTTCAACAAAGAAGGTATTTTACCAAATTTTTGTCATTTTCCATTAATTCCATCTCTGTATTTCTTGGACTGTTCATGGTTTTATTTCAGTTTCTCATTTTACCATCTTGACAGTTTTTAAATACAAAACCTTGCTTAAGGTTGACTGTCAAACTGTGGAGAGTTTGTTTTCATATTTTATTCACCAAATAAAAATTCTCTTAAATATTAGGCATAATGGGGCTCATTTTAGAATTGGATGTCAATCTTTATTTTGGTATTGATGCTGATTCTTGTTGAGGATTCAAATGGAATCAATTTGTGTAGCATTGTTTTCTTTCTTCCCTATCTATCCACATGGTATGCTCATGACATGATTGGCAGTGGAACAATATCAAGGAAGGATTGAGTTTGTGCATTTCCAAAGAGTGTTCAAGTGAAAGTAACAGCAATACTCACAACTAGAATTAAAACCATGTTTTCTTGGGACCATTTAAAATTTTTTCTTTTTTTAATTAGCAGTTATTGGTTTCTTCCTGAAATTATAAATCTCTCCCTTCCCCACAAAATTTCAAAAACAGTAGAATTTTTCAAGTTCTACATGTTTGCCTTTGTCATTGATTTACTTTAAATTATTAATTATACCAATTTATTAACTATAACATTTATTAAGTATATACCAATTTAAGTGTTATATTTTCGTAAAGAAAATAAAAGAAAAGAAAATAGGAAACTATCTTTACTGTCCACGTCAAATAGGAAACTATCTTTACTGTCCACGTGACTTTTTCACACGTCCCCATTCCTCTTTAAAAGCTGCGTTCTTCTTCCTTTGTTGATTGCTGCTGTGAATTAAGTTCAGTAAAGCCTTAGTGAAAGGTTACTAGCTTTCTTCTCTGAGCAACGTAACAATTTACTGAACTTACTTCCTCATGGACAAGATTATTCGTCTGGACAAGTTTGATATATCTTCTGCAGACCCTCAGGCTAGCAAGCTCTGGAGACTATGGTACCGTAATTTTAATTATTACTTATCAACTATTGCTTTGTTAAACCCTGACAAACTCGAAGTCCTTTATTTAAATATCGGTGCTACCATTGCTGATGTTATCGAGGGTTGTTCTGGATTTGAACATGCTGTTGAATTGCTGAAAAGTGTTTATGACATGTCTCCAAGTATTATTCACGCTAGACATTTGTTGTCTACACGTCTGCAGCAGGAAAATGAGTCTGTAGACCAATACCTTCAGGCCTTGAATCGACTTGCTGCTGACTGTTGCTTCCAAGATGTTACTGCTACTACTTACAGGGATGAATCTGTCCGTGATGCATTTATACGTGGTCTCCGGTCCCTCGTAATACGTGCCAGACTGCTTGAAAATGATACGCTAACTCTCAAGGAGGCTACTCAATGTGCTAGAGCCTTAGAACAGGCTCACTTTCGTGCTGAGTCATACACTTCTCAGATTGGATCAACTGCTGCTACTACCACTAGGACTAAAAATGTGTTTACTGATTCTGCCGAGGAGGCCACTTCCACTACTATTACTAAAAATATGCTTTCAGACTTAACTGATTCTCGTACGGAGTGTGACTCTGTACAATTGTCTGCTGCCTTTGCTCGTGGCAAGTGCTACAACTGTGGAGGAAAACGTCACTTTAAGGATAATCGTCGCTATTGTCCTGCCCGTGATAAGATATGTCGAAACTGTGGCAAACTTGGTCATTTTTCTAAAGTTTGCCGTTCTACCATGCCGGCACCTTCACGTTCTACTTCAGCTATTATAGTAGCCCGTGCTAAAGACGATGATAGGTCTCCTCCAGTTACTAAAACTTTAGAATTAAAAGGAAAGAGATTAACTGCCCTCATAGACACCGGTAGTTCTGATAACTTTATCAGTGCCCGTATTGTTAAAACAATGAAACTGTCTACTTCTAAACGGAATTCCGTAATTTCCATGGCTTCATCTGCCATTTCCTTCAAACTATCTGAATATTGTACTGAGGACATTATCTTCAATGGTTACGAATATAAACAAATTGACTTTACAGTACTTCCTGATTCCTGTATGGATATTATACTCGGAGTGCCCTTCTTAAAACTACACCAGAGTATCACTATTTCTTTTGGTGGATCTCAGGATATTCTAAAAATCTGCGCTCTAACCAAGATCAGTTGTGCTCCTGTTAAGTTGTTCCGAAACTTGACACCTGATTGCAAACCTATTGCTACTAAATCCCAAAATTACCGTGCGGAGGATGGTCGGTTCATTGAAAAAGAAATTCTACAACTGCTTAAGGATGATATAATTGAAACAAGTTACTCTCCGTGGCGTGCTCAAATTGTCGTAACTTCGTCACCTAATAAAAAGAAACGATTGGTAGTCGATTTCTCCCAGACTATTAATCGGTTCACCTTACTTGATGCCTACCCCTTGCCTCGAATTGAAGATCTCGTAAACCAAATAGCCCAGTATCGTATCTATAGTATAATTGACTTGTCCAAAGCATACTATCAGATTGAAATTTGCCCTGAAGATCGTCCCTATACGGCCTTTCAAGCTGGAAACCGTCTGTACCAATTTAAACGAATACCCATGGGTGTTACTAACGGGGTTTCTGCCTTTCAGCGATTTATGAATTCTTTCATTTCTGATAACAAATTATCTGGAACCTTTTCGTATATAGATGATATAACTGTTTGTGGTAAAACCCAGGAGGAGCACGATGTCAATTTGGAATGTTTCTTAAAGGCTGCCTCGACATACAACCTCGAAATAAACCGGGAAAAATCAGAGTTTTCACTTCGTTCTATTAACGTGCTTGGATATCAAATTTGTAACGGAACTATCCAACCCGATCCTGAGTGTTTGAAGCCACTTTTACAAATGCCTCCTCCTCCCGACTCAAATTCGTTAAAAAGGTGTCTTGGTATGTTTGCTTACTATGCGAAATGGATACCTAAATATTCACACAAAATTCGTCCACTGGTCGAAAATAAACAATTCCCTATGCCTCCTATAGTTATAAATTCTTTCGAAAAACTTAAGAAAGACATTGCCGAGTCATCTGTAAAAGTTATTGATGATGAATTGCCATTTACTATTGAAACCGATGCCTCAGAAAAGGCTATTGGAGGCACTCTTTTACAAGCTGAGCGACCTGTAGCATTCTTTTCTCGGTCGCTAAACCCCTCTGAAATACGACTTCACATAGTCGAAAAAGAAGCATATGCTATAGTCGAATGCGTTAAGTAAATGGAGAGACCTCCTTGCCGGGAAACATTTTACTATTATTACTGATCAACAAGCCGTATCTTTTATGTTTAAACCTGCTAATCGCGGAAAAATTAAAAACGATAAAATTATAAGGTGGAAAATGGAACTTCTTCCCTTTTCATACGACATAAAACACCGTCCTGGAAATGAAAACACAGTTGCGGATACCTTATCCAGAGTATGTGGTGCTGCTGCTTCTTCCTTGAAGGAACTTAAATCGATACACGATTCCTTAATACATCCTGGGGTACAGCGCTTTTGGCATTTTGTAAGGTCTCAGAATATGCCGTATTCGCTTGATGAAGTCCGACGTGTGACTTCTGAATGTACGACCTGTGCCAAAATAAAACCCCAATTCTTCGATTCTGCTAGTAATGTTCTGATCCGTTCTACTGCGCCATTTCAGCGTCTTTCCATAGACTACAAAGGGCCTGTCCCGGTATCCCCGACAGGTTACTGATATATATTTACTATAGTCAATTTCCCTTTGCCTTTCCTTGCTGCGATTGCTCTTCACAAACTGCTATTCAGTGCCTGACAAGTATTTTCTCCATTTTCAAGCTTCCCTCGTTCATTCACTCCGATTGAGGAACTTCGTTTATGTCGGGAGAATTTAAACAATTTCTAACACGACTTGGAATTGGATTCAGTAATACTACTGCTTATAACCCTAGAGGCAATAGCCAATGCGAACGTTACAACGGCATAATTTGGAATACCATATTATTGGCCCTGGAATCGAAACAGTTACCAATTAGTGCTTGGCAGGATGTTCTACATGATGTGTTAAATGCTATCCGCTCCCTGCTATGTACCACTACGAATGCAACCCCCCACGAACGAATGTTCAATTTTGAAAGGCGGTCCTCCACCGGTACTGCGTTGCCTGTTTGGCTCTGTGAGCCTGGGGAGGTATTATTAAAATGATTCGATGGCAGAAGTAAATATGACCCTATCGTTGAGGTGGTGGAACTCCTTGAGGCCAATCCTACGCATGCCAAAATACGTCACAATGATGGCGGGGGAAGATTCGGTGGCGCTGAGACGGTTGGCACGTTTTCCACGCCCGGATGGACCTCAAAATGGACCTGAAAATACTCAACCCGACGTGGACCACGCAGATTCAACCCTTTTGCCTGATGCAGGTCCCGTTAATATTTCTTCACCTTCCACAGAAAATGAATCTGTGAATAATAGCCAGAATCCTGAAAGTCAGCCTTCTCAGAGGTCTGGCTCTTCCAGTGGTGAACTACCTCTACGCCCGGTCTAGCAGGATTCGTGAGACCAATCCAACGACTGGATTTATAAAACCTATTCAATTACGATCTCTTTTGCAAGTGGGGAGAATGTTATATTTTCGTAAAGAAAATAAAAGAAAAGAAAATAGGAAACTATCTTTACTGTCCACGTCAAATAGGAAACTATCTTTACTGTCCCGTGACTTTTTCACGTCCCCATTCCTCTTTAAAAGCTGCGTTCTTCTTCCTTTGTTGATTGCTGCTGTGAATTAAGTTCAGTAAAGCCTTAGTGAAAGGTTACTAGCTTTCTTCTCTGAGCAACGTAACATTGAGCATGTTTCCTGAAGACATGGTGTGTGTTTATGCATTTGTTCAGCCAATAGGAATTGATTTTCAAAATGTTGAAATATCTTAAAATGGGATCATGAAATTGTAGCACAGCCTGTGGCATAAATTACATGACTTAAGAATTTCAGTCAACATGTCTTTAAGTTTTGTAGCAATGAAAGTAGTAAACTTCCCTTGTCAAACAAAATGCCTATGGGTTCTCCGCCATAAATAATAAAAAAAAAACCCAACAAAAAGAAACATATTTCTAGCACCATCAGAGAGAACTGAGCAGGATGTATACATTTTGATTTGATCAATTGTGGGTGTTTCGTATGTGTGTATAAATTCTGATGTCTGTGTGCTAAGGAGCATGATTTGCTGCTCATGTGTATTGGATTTTGCAAGCACTGGGTTTTGTGACCCCTTTTTGTGTTCATTAGCTTTTGTAACAGTTGGATTTTATGAACTTTGTTCTTTGTGGCCATTGGATTATGCAACTATTGTTTTTTTTTTGTTTTTTTTTTTTGCACCCTTTGAATTTTACGAAAGTTGGCTTGTTTTTTTTGTGAGTTTGCAATGTACACAAGTCCTACCACTTACAAGGTTGTTATTCAATGACAGTTAAATAAGTTACATGAATAAAAAATATGGAAAAACCTTCTTGCAAGATCCATGCTGTTTACTTAACAATCATCAAATAATAACCTGGCAATTATGATAAAGAAATTGAATGAAAGATAAACAATCATTTTGCATTTATGTCATCTTCAGACAATTTCAACATCTCAGGAAAAATCCGATAGTCCAAAAATAAAAATTTTAATTTGGTGCTAAATTCTGTGATTGGTCCAATAATCACTGAATGACTTATATATTATGCCTGGAATTGTTATTATGGCCTTGGAACTCTGTGTGTGTGTGTGAAAATCATGAAAAATGTTATTTGTCATATAGAGATGTCACAAAATTATTTGATTAAAAATTGATGTTGTTTGAGATTCGAATAAAGAAACAGAGAAAATCTTCCTCTATGGGAAAATCTCAAGATGAAACTCTTTGATTATCAAAAAAAGCTGATAGAAATTTAATTTAAATTTCAAACAAGCCATTATGGGCAAGTTTTATCTATAAAAAAGTAATTCAGTTTTTTACATTCATAAAGCCTCTAAAAGAAAAGAATTACAAACTTTGAAAACATTTCATTAATATTGACAGATTCAAAACACATCATATCATAATAATGATATATGTAAATAATAACATATGTACAACATTAAAATTAAATGACAGATGCATAAAAATCATATAAAATAATGGCAAATCCAGATCATATTTGGATTTGTATGCAAGATAAAAAAACTATAAAAATTGTTAATAAAGAAAACATGATATTCATTTATATAAGAATATTTAATTAATTAATAAACTTTACTATTTTCTTCATAAAACAAGAAACTTATGAATATTTGTGTTGTTTTATTTTTATTTTTTTGTCAGTATTGCCGTGAATCTGAAAAAGATATTGTGAACATCAAGGAGAACAAGGTCAGTATTGTTCTGACAAAAAACTCGATGGGATTATGTGAGTTCTGTGAAAATCCCACAAAACCATTACCAACCTTAGAACAGGAATCAACACAGTGTCCTGAAGAACTGTACTGCTGTGAAGAATACCAGAAATTCCTGGAAATGGTATTGCAAAATGAAACTGAAGAAGCACGTCTGAGATTGGAGATTGAAAAATCAACCAAGGAATGTTTGAAATCTGGGAAAAGTCCACCCAAAACAAAAATTCTCAACAAAAAAGAATTGAAAAAGTTAAGATATCTATTTTCCTTTTTTTTCCCTTTGAAAATGACTTTTTAATGCTCCCTGGAGAATTTGATAAGTCTCCTCCTCCATGCCCTGATGCTACCTTGACAACATTGAGAGTTAGAAAGAACAAAATGAAAACTTAAGAGGCAATTTCAGAATAAGTCATGTTTTTACTATGCAAAAATTCAAATTTTGATTATTTCATTTTTGTTGTTTGTCACATTTTGATGAAATATTTTTTTTTTCTTTCACAGCAAAGTCAAGGCTCGTGAAATGAAATTAAAACAAAAACAACAAGAAAGCTTTCAACAACAACAACAGCAACAACAACAAATTCCACCCCAAGGATACCACACCAGTGCGTAGAGTTTAAGGGGGTTGTTTTGACTTTCTGTTGACGCAAACTTTGGAGAAGTGTAGTTTTTGAAATTCAGACATGACAAGCTGTACTCAAAGGATGTTCATATTTTCAAAAATGTTTCTTTTGATTTAATTTTGCCTTTCTACTTAATTATTAATAACATCTGATAAGAAATCAAGACTAACTTTTTCTTATGTAAAATTATTGTTTATTCCCTTCTGGACTTTGTCTAATGTTGACTTTGAAGCAATGTGGTTTTTTTTTTTTTTTGAAGGCTTCAAATGAACATTCAATCTTCTTGTGTGGTGTGGGGGGTCTTTACCTTCCTTCCCTCCTTGTGGATTGGCTGTTTATATAACTTCATGTCATTCGATTATGGTGTGTGGATGTATATCCTAAGTTTAGCTGGGCTCACTTCTTGTTTATGTTTGCGCAGCCACTGATGTCCTTTGAGGCCTGTGGAGTGAGTAGCCATGCTCAAATGGTCGACAAGGGAAGTAACTCAATTGTATTTTGAGTTATTGTCTTTTATAGGGGAAGTAAGTTAGCATTCTCTAACACATACACAAACTTTTACATCAGCAACCCCCCAAAAAAAACATGCCCTCCTTTGGTCACTGAATCAAAGAAGCACTCACACAAATAAACAAATACCTCAACATCATAGCTCCCTTTAGCAATACAAAGTCACCTCCATGGATATCTGGACATCACAAATCTCATATAAAACTAACAATAATTCAACACAACAAAAACACTACAAATAACATCATAGATAAATCAAGTTTGCTGAAATAAAACACAAATATTGCAAATATTGAGCTGTTTATACTGATGTCTCTAAAATCTAAAACAGAATAAATGCCATGGATAGACAGTTTCATAAAAAAATTAGATGTTGAAATCAAGCTTCCATATTTACAGCTGAGCTAGAAGCCATTAAGATGGCACTTGAATTCATTAAAAACTCAATCAGATGGTCCAGTGCCTCTGCCATTTATCTTGAACTCCTTGATAAAATCCAAAAGAAGAATCAGTAATAATATCAGTCCTGATCTGGCAGCTTGGCTTTAGTCACTTTCCCACCACCGTAAGGTTGCCGCTCTGTGTATTTTCTATAAATGCTTTCATAGTAATTGTTTGGATGAGCTTTTCACTATGGTACGTAGACATTTTGAATTTAAGTGCAGTACTAGACTGGTATTGAGATTGCATCCATTTACAGTTGACTAGATGCAACCCTGTAAGTTCAATGCTAACAGTTTCTTTACTCACACTTAACACTTGTGGAACTTTCCTCAGGCTCCATGCTATGCAGCTAACTTTAATCACCAAAAATTTAAATGAAATGTCAATCGCCATCTACTGTCCTCCTGATTACTCTTTTCTCTTCTCATTTATTATTAATGTTTCTATTCCTAATTCTACCACATCCACACCCTTCTGTCTTAGTGGCTTTACTGCATTGCTTGGGGTGAAACCAATTAAAAAAAAAATTCATCATATTCTGTCAAGTCTTGTAACTCTGAAAGAAGGAGAATCCAAACATTCAAACCTCATAAATAGCAGGCAAACTAACTATAGATGTCCCTCCATATGATAACAGCTAACATCAAGATACACCCTACAGACTTTAGAAAAAATATAAAAGAACATATCAAAAGAAAATGATAAGCTATATGGGTCACACAATCTTAACAATCTATACAATATTCAACTAACTTGAGGAGAATATCTGTCTATATTTCTGAGATGAGGTATTGTAACTATTTACACTATTTACATTGTTCAAACTGTTGTCATATTCATGACGTTTCGGCCATTGTATGCTCTGGTCTTCTTCAGTTTATATATATATATGGGAATTTCAAACCAAATCCTTCATTTAGTCTACTGGGATAGATTCTTCTGGTTCCTTGTGCTACACTTTCCTGGATATCTCAGTTTCAGTTATTTCCCTTTAATAACTCAACTCTGCAAGTTTTGTTCACCTCTGCTGGTATTGAACTCACAACTCTTTGAGTCAAGTCTCTAGGTTACTCTAACCACTGGGCCAAATAAAGGGTTCAGTGCAAAATTCCAACATATATCACCTGAAGAAGGCCAGAGCATACAATGGCCAAAACGTTATGAATATGACAATAAAGATGAGGATAACAGTTTTGAAAAATGTAAATAATGTAAAAAGTATAGAAGAATGTCTTCCAGGCTTCAGAAAAATAAGACCCAAGGAAATAGGACACCCTCACATCTGAGACCCTCACAGTTTCATCCAGACTCCTAATAGGACACCCTCACATCTGAGACCCTCACAGTTTCATCCAGACTCCTAATAGGACACCCTCACATCTGAGACCCTCACAGTTTCATCCAGACTCCTAATAGGACACCCTCACATCTGAGACCCTCACAGTTTCATCCAGACTCTTAATAGGACACCCTCACATCTGAGACCCTCACAGTTTCATCCAGACTCCTAATAGGACACCCTCACATCTGAGACCCTCACAGTTTCATCCAGACTCCTTATAGGACACCCTCACATCTGAGACCCTCACAGTTTCATCCAGAACTCCTAATAGGACACCCTCACATCTGAGACCCTCACAGTTTCATCCAGACTCCTAATAGGACACCCTCACATCTGAGACCCTCACAGGACTCTTAATAGGACACCCTCACATCTGAGACCCTCACAGTTTCATCCAGACTCCTAATAGGACACCCTCACATCTGACACCCTCACATCTACTAAAAAATGAAACTACCTCATTATGCAACAGATACCTAGTACCTCTCACAATTGAACATATACTCATGTTGCTGTCATCTCACTCAAACCCAAACAAAATATTATCAAGCAAACAAAGCAAAAGTACTCTTTCAAAATACTAATCCAATCAATATCTTGAACTTCTTAAAGGAAATCAATCTTTATGCAAAAATATAAAACTATAAAAGTTCCCAATAAAACATTTAATATATTTTGAAAACTGAAAAAAAAAACTCTTCGGGCTTCATAAATTACGATCACAAATGCCATAACTCTTTTGAGTTGTGGGGGCACCACGTACTGCTACTGCAGTAGAAATGGTGTGTTTTGGGCAAGATAGCCTGATGGAGCCCAACTCTGAATAGGCTGGTTTGAATTCATAGTTTTCCTTCTTCTAGACTGGTTGCCACACAAGGCTATAGATCCCAGGCTGTCCTGCTATTTAACCATAGCTGGGAATGAGATGGATTCATACCTTTCCCAAGGGTATTAACAGGTAAGTGAATGTAATAAAATCGGCTGGAATTTGAACTCAGCTCTTCAATTCCTCAGTCTGAGTCGCAATCCATTACTTCGTATTGTCTTCCTTCATAATTATCCCCACTAAAATAACAATGCAAATTATAACAACCAACTTGTATCAGAAACTGAATATAAGATAAATTTTATTAGAGACCAGCATCTCTAATAAGTGATTAAAAAAAACAAAATACTCCCTAATCCACATATAACATCAAGCTATGCCCAAAAAATGATGATTTGAAACCTTTATCTGGCTTTAAATAACCCTATAGTTGTTGATGAGCCATTAAACAGAAACAAAACTAAACCAATCAAGGTGAGCCCATTATATATTTGGGGTCACCATAGATCAACTCCTTAAATCAAAATTTACTGATTGACATTCGATTCATTTCAGGCCTTTTGTATTTTCTAATATTACTTTCACAATCTTATGAGATTATCTCTGTTGATTATTTGGTATTAGTTGCCGGTTTATCAGATTAGAGTTTCTGTCTTAATAAATCAAGTAAGTCCAAAGTTAAATCAGTGGGCATTTTATGTTGCGTCACTCTACCCCCATCTCCCCACTGACCCATTCACATCATATGTACCAAGTGTATGTCTTTTAAAAAATAGACTCAATGAAAAAAAACATATTTACACTACTACATTGTTTGGACTGTTCTCCTCGTCTTCATTGTCATATTCATGACATTTCATCCATTTTACATTCCAGCCTTCTCCAGGTGATATACCTTGGAATTTCAAACTGAACCCTTTGTTTAGTCCACAGGGATAGATTGTTCTTGTTCCACATGCCATGCCTTTTCTGGATATTTCAGTTTCAGTTATTTCTCTTTAGTAACTCAACTCTCTAAGTTTTTGTTCACCTCTGCTGTGGCCAGGGATTGAACTCACAACTTTCTCCAAGGACACATGGTCCAATGGATAAAAGTGTTGGTTGTAGTGACTTGACCCAAAGAGTTGTGAGTTCAATACCTGTCCACAGCAGTTACTAAAGGGAAATCTGGAACAGAGCTATCCAGAAAAAAGGCATGACTCATGGAATAAGAACAATCCACACCAGTGGGCAAAATAAAGGGTTTCGTCCGAAATTCCAATGTATATCACCTGAAGAAGATCAGAGCATACAAGGGTCAAAACGTTGGGAATATGACAATGAAGATGAGGACAACAGTCCAAACGATGTAAATAGTGTAAATAGTTACAATACCATATCTCAGAAATATACAAATTTCATGAAAAAAACAGTTATTTTCTTCAAGGTAATTGGTATTTTTGCAATTTTTTAGGATTTTTGTAAGTTTTAAAGAGAATAAGTTTAATTTTTTTTGTGTGTGTTTGTGATATCAACACTTGCTCTGCTAGAGTCATAGAAATCCTTAATGTGTCAGGTTCAATTCTTGTAAGTAAAATCTCATGAACATGACCTTGTGCTAACCTTGCTGATTTTTGTGGGCTATAGATACGATATAAACAATAATAAGTGGTTAATCTTTCAAAAAGAATTATTTGGCCCATTTTCAGAATTCATAAATGTCAAATTATTCCCAAAAGACCAAATGTGTAGATGTTTGTTGCGATTGACATTTATTAACAGATGGATGAATCATTTCTGTGTTTTTCATCTATTACTCTTTTGTGTTTTTGTTTTTTTGCCAAATTTGCAAAATGTTGCAATAAAATACCAAATTTTTTAGTGGACAACATACACTTCTTTCGTGTCCTGTATACTGAAGGTAGGAATAATAGATATTTGCTGAAAACTGTGAAGCTCTCTGTAGCCAAGCTGTAAAGCACATGGGATCAAACGGTGGTTTCTCTTACAAAGAGGGTCCCACGTTTGATCCTTTCCAGAGAGCATGTTTTCTTAAGATTTCTCAAATGTGCTGGCTGGTAGACATAATACACACTGTTGGAAATAAAAATGGAAATCCGAGTATCCACTTTAATAACATTTGAAATAGTATGAGTGTCAGATTAAAAATTGTTTAGAAATATATTGTTCGTTCTAATCCTGTGATGGGAATAATTGCAAAACACTCCTCCCCACTCTCCAATTTTTAAGCAAACCCACACAGATTCTTGCTGGGATTTCTTCCTAGCCAATAAGATTGGCCACTTGTCGGTTTCATAGTCTCTCTTGTGTTGAAGTCAGAATGCTATGTTCATTTATTTGAATTTGCTCTTGTGTGTCAACCCCAATTCTTAGTTTGTGAACTTTTTGCCTTATTACTGTTGCTTTGACTTGCATATATTGTTTACTGGATTTATATTATTTTTTGCCCTGTTCTTTTCTTTTTCTTGTTATTGTTTATAGGAAATTTTGTCAATTCTGTTTGTTGAGCACTTCTGCTACTTACATTTAACCATGGCCACTTATTTCTCTCTCTCTCTCTCTCTCTATTGATGGCAGAATTTTTTTCTATGATGATGTTAATGTCACTATGGATTATTTTAGATGTTTGTGATTTTTTCCTTTGGTTTTAAATGTATTCTTATTTTTTTGTTCCTAAGCATCAATTAGTTTATAATTCCTCATAAATTTCCATTTACAATCACAAGTTCCGTAATCCCTGAGGGTCATTAAGGCATCATATGTATTGCAGTCATAGCAGCAATACATGTGTGTTGAGACCAGTGGTTCTTAAATGGTGCTGAGCGCCTCATAGGTGCAGCTGAAGAGGATAGCAGTTGAGGTGGAATCATTGAAAGACAAAGATCTAGAAACAGTTTTAAAAAATTCATATGCTAAAAATAAATATAGTTTCAAAATTTAAAATATTATTGTAGATTCCTTGTAATTGCATGCATGAGTCTCAGTATAAATAGTTCTAAATAATTATTGACTGATTTTATCATTGTGATATTTTTGCATTATGTCAAGTATTAAGAATATAGTAACTAGGTTCCATAAATTGGAGAAGAGAGTTATCAATGATAATGCTCTGATTTTGAATATGCAGTTATTAATCCTATCTCTGTTTTTTTCATTTTTAAATGTACTTTTTATCACGTAAAATTTGTTGTGGCAAGAGCAAATTTTAATTTCAAAAATGTGGCCCAGGGAAAAGATTATTGGGAGCCACTAGTCTATGGCAAGATAGCCCAACAGAATCAATCCATTTTGAGGCTGTTTTTCAATTCAAAGTTGTTTTTCTCTTAGACTGGTTGCCCAACCAAGGCTAAAGAGTTACAGTCGATTTTTTATTCATAGAAATTTGAATTCCGAGTTTTCCTTCTCCTAGATGGGCTGCCACACAAAATAAGAGAGTCCAGTCTACTCTGCTATTTAACCCCTTAGGTAGGGGAAGATGGATTTGTGCTTTTTCCAAGGGTGTTGGGGCTTTACAGATAGAATTTGAACTTGTCATGACAATTTCACTTTTTATGTTAATGATCATTGTGATATCCACCCCTAATAAAATATCAATTTTTCAAAGAAGACAATCTTTCGCAAAACAACCTTCAACTTTTTCAAACTTTATTTTTCCAGCCCGTCAGATGAACACCATTAATTATCAGCTGTCTTCCCGTCGTTGCTTGGAAGAAGGTTGGACTGTGAGGACCCCTTATTTAGAGCAGTTAGATTTTGATGGTGACATTTTTGAAGTGGAACCTGGAAAAAGGATAGCTCTCTGGCGAGGGGCTGAGGTGAGGAATGACTTTTTGTTTTTTGTTTGATGATATTTTTTCTTTCATATGGAAGCAATAAAATTCAGTTGATAGTTTTGCATCTGGAAGTGGATTAACATTTTTATGATTCTAAGTCAATGTTTTTCCACCTTTTTTTTATAACTTGGTACACTTGAACTTATATTAGGTTGGTGCAAAAATAATGACGTAATAATGCCGTTTTTTGACGTATTTTTTAACGTCAAAAAATGACATTCTTACGTCATTATTTTTGCACCAACCTAACAGTTAAAATTTGGCAGCACAATTAAATTGTGACAATCAGAAAAGGAGTAAAAAAAATGTAATCTTTTTATGATTTATTTATTATAATTTGTAATTAAAAGATAATAATTAAAATCCTTGAAAAAACATTAATTTATTTTATGTTTATTATAATTTAATGTTTAATGAGATATATGAGCTTGATGGTTTTTTTTTTTTTAAATACCTTCTACACTTCTGGACATAGATGGGGTTCCATCCGTACAAATATTTATGCAGGAATCCCAAGACAACTTCTTACAATTGAAGTAATTATTGATAAAACTGGAAATATCTTGGACCTTTGTTGTTGTTTGGTGTGGTTGATAAAACAAAAACTGTTCTATGATTTCTTTTTTACAAACAAATCTACTGAATGCTAAAACTTTGGGTTTACCACCGACAGCAGTAGATTCATTCGACTGAATTTCAAACATGTTTACATTTTTGACATAAGCTCTTACTTGAAATTCTATATTTTCAGATAAATCTTTAATGTGCCAAGAAATTGTATCATCTGATAGCAGAATTTTAAAAATTTCCTTTTCATATTCTTCTCCAAACATTGTTTTTGCAATTGCCAGTAGGTCAGTAAAATAACGGATTCTACAATAGTATGAGTTTTTTTCCTAGCTATGATTTCTGTGACTGCATAATTCATTTGTGCTTTGATATCATTTTATATTTGGTCTATATTTTTGCTTGTTTAGTATTACTAAGTGCAAATCAATGAAATATTCCACTGGCTTTTCAGACAAGTGGAAATATCTGGATTGTAAATATCCGTTTAATTTGTTATGAAACATAATTTTATTTGCTGATGTTTTACTACAAATTACGCCTGTGAAAAGTGGCGGATTTCCTTCACTGCATATAAAACTGAATGATAAATAATCTCTTCATTATATTAACAGATAATTGTTTTTAATTTGGTTGTTGATCTAATGATTGAAGCAAATGTTTGATGCACTAGTGCCATCTTCTAATTTTTGTTTCTTAATTAAACAATATTCTATACTAATAAAATCTACAATATTGTGTACTAGTAAAATCTACTATATTCTATACTAATAAAATCTATATTCTGTACTGATAAAATCTACTATATTCTGTACTGATAAAATCTACTATATTCTGTACTGATAAAATCTATATTTATAAATCTAATATTCTGTTCTGATAAAATCTACTATATTCTGTACTGATAAAATCTATATTTATAAATCTAATATTCTGTTCTGATAAAATCTACTATATTCTGTACTGATAAAATCTATATTTATAAATCTAATATTCTATACTAATAAGATCTACTATATTCTATACTAATAAAATCTATTATATTCTGTACTAATAGAATATACTATATTCTATACTAATAGAATATACTATATTCTATACTAATAAAATCTATACTAAATTCTATAGTAATAATAAAATCTACTATATTCAGTAATAATAAAATCTACTATATTCAGTACTAATAAAATCTACTATATTCTATACTAATAAAATCTACTATATTCTATACTAATAAAATCCACTATATTCTGTCGGCATCTAATAAAACAATTTATTCCTGCCTAAAACAAATTTGGGATCAAAATGTTCTTTTACCGAAAAAAGCATGTGTAGTTGATTTGAAGTAGTATCTCAATTTCAAAGCAAGACAAACTATTTGATAGTCAAAATACTGTAAATCCACGTGGGGAGGCGTCAGAAAGAAATGCTGCAATCAAGTATCGTATGTCCATTATCAAGAAATGCCTCGTCCATGTCCAAGTTGGCTCCCTGAGCTGTCAATTTTCTTCCCTGAGTCGATCCTCCAGATTCAACTGTCAGATTCAAAAACTGCGTTCTGAAAAGTGTTTATATCAGTTACATGCTCATATATGCAAATCACCGACAGTTTTAAAAGTCTTTGTCTCACACATGTGCCATGACAGAATTACAAATGGCAACCATGACCGTCTCTTGATCCTACTTCACTACAGCCTAACATTAGTGATTGATAATCAAATTTCAAACTGGTTTATTTTTGCTTCTTCTCTAATGTCTTGTTTAATAGTTCTGAGAACACTAGTCTTCTAAAATCTGTATATCTTAAAAATGTTATCCTTCATTGATTGTTGAAAAAAAAAAAAAAAAAAAAACCATTGCTCAGCAAGAAATATTTGGGATCATGTTCTTTTTGGTTTTTTAATTTTGAGTTGCAAAATTTCAATTTCAGGAAAAACAAACTATTTGATAGTCAAAATCTGTAAGAAAGAAAAGCAATCAAGTATCAAGTCCATTATTTGATAAATTGTATTTCTGTTGGATTGTGTACGTGTTGAACAAAATGTTTTTCTGTAAAATTGCCAATTGCAAATCCAAAATTTTCACTAGTCAAATCCCTTTTCTTTATATAACATTAGTGATTCAAATCAAATTTCAAACTGGTTTTTTTTTTGCTTCTTCTCTAATGTTTGTTTTAGTTCTGAGAACAAGTCTTCTAAAATCTGTATATCTTAAAAATGTAATCCTTCATTGATTGTTTTAAATAAGAATATAATATTCTGCTGGACTTAAATGGGGGACCGATTTTTGAGTTATTAAAAAACAAACTGGTCCCCTGTAAGAAAAGAAAACTAACAAGTTGATTAATATGTAATACGTGTTGAACAAAATGTTTTTTGGCCAAAAATTTTCATTTTCAAAGCCTTTTTGTTAGTAATCAAAAACTACAAGGGATTTTGGTTTGATTTTTTCACACAACCATAAACTAGTATTAATATAATATTCTGCTGGACTTAAAATGGGGGATCGATTTTCTACTGTTATTAACTAATAAACTGGTCCCCCAGAATTACTACATATGAATACAATAGATGAAAAAAAATATTTTTAACCGTTTGTACTGTGAGGTGTTTGAACAGCCAATAAAATGTTTTTCCTTAATATTTCGTGATAGGCAAACAAAAATTTTCCTGATTAGTTGAGTAGCTTTCTGAATTTGTCTGTCAAGTGATGTTTCTGGTTTTAGTTGTAATATTTGTCTGAATTACATGCAGGTTTATTTGTTTACTGAAAATAAAACAAAAAGTTATTTTTGCATATTTGAATTCTTTAAATGTAGACTTGTCTTTTAATATCGGCTTTTTAATTTGATTTTAATTTACTTTTAATTTGATTTTCCAAAATAAGACTTTGTTTTTTTGTTTTTTTTTAATTTTTATTTATCTTCTAAAAACCAGAAAGAACACTCAAGCCAGTATATCAAAATAAAATTAGGAACTAAATGATATCTGCATAATAGATTTGAAATACATGATTTGAAGACTGCACAGTAGAGAGGGACAAGCAAAAATGTTAATAAGCCTGACATAAAAATGCTTTCCAGGCAACTCTACAAAGGGATTAAAATAATCACTTATGGAAGAAAAGGCTTTTCTGGACAGGAAACTTTTGTTGACTTATTATCTTTAGCATTTTGTGGTTTTAGGGAATTTTAAATTCATGTTTTGACTCATTCAAAGAATTATCCATTTGGGGAAAGAGAAAGAAATCAAAAGAGAAATGATTTTTTTTTTTTTTTTTTTTTTAAATTGGTTTTCATTGTTTTGAAGTGCATTGGACTTTAATCATTTATTTTTTTTCCAGAGCATTTCAGAAGGACCTTTGGAGAAATTTTATGACATTGGACACAAATTTTTCACAATTTTTGCAGATGGAACTGGCAATATTTTGTATCTTTTTTTTGGCTTTCATTTCAAATCTTCATTTTTTCCCCAAGAGTTTTGAAGGTAGTTTACGGTCACATCATATTGAAACCTCAGTTTCTATATGTTCACCAAAGTTGAGCTTAGAAAGCTTAGATGTGTGGGTGGGGTGTAATGAATAATGGCTTTGAATTGTTAATCAGAAAGTTGAGTTCCAATTCCAGTTAGGTTCATTATATTCACATATATTGCAAATATACTTGGGGGGAAACATATGAATCCACCTTTTCTCCCACCTAGCTAAAAGTTATTTAGTGTTGTATAGTAAAGAGTACACTCTCCGGTGAATCTATGAACTCATCCAATACTATAAAGAGTTCTATGGTATGAGGTTAGGATTAGTTGTATTGGAGTCAGCCTTCATACTAACTACATAGGTGTTATGGCATTAGCCTATGAATTACTTTAACAAATTATGTTATACCAAGTACGAGAGTGTGTTATAACAATAACCTTACAATAGGAAGTTATAATAGTTGGTGATGAGGATACTTGAACCTAAGCGTGGGACAAAATAGCAACATTGTAATGGGAGACATAATAGTTGACAATGAGGATCTCTAAATTAAATGCAGTATAACAATCAGCACATTATAACTGGAGTTATAATAGTGAGTGACCAGATTTTTGAAACTCCTACATGGGCAACAGGAGTTACTGTTGTGTGTTGAAATCTTCACAGTATTTAGCAATGTTGAAATTATCACTAATATTTTTTGTCATGATTTACAAACTCTGTTTTGTTCAATTTCACAAAGCAATTGATAAAATTTGAATCAGCAGATTTATTTGGAAAAATACTTTGACAAGAACCCTATATCATGATTTAATAATTTCTTTAATTTAATCTAATTTTATAGGACTTCATGGTAAAGAATATTTTTTAAGAAATTTTTTTTTTATTTTTCCTTTTTGACAGCGAAGAATAAATTCTTAGGATTTCTTACTCTTGAGCATGCAACATGCAACTGGTCATGCATAAATATTTCTTTCTTGACCCAAATTCCAACTTTTTGAAGCATTTGGCCGTGTGATTTGTTTATAGTTCTTGCAAATACAAGGTGAACTGGAAACTGGATTCTTGTATATATAAAACTTAAAGAAAAGATATGCAAAGAAAACAATATTGCATTTTTTTTAATTAAGTATTTATCATTTTAATCATTGTTTTTAAAATAATGGGAGTATTTTGTATGTTCAATAATAAAACTACCCCCCCAAAAATGAATGAAAATTTATTGTATTAAGATATGCACCCTAGTAAACCAACTGTACTTTGTACCCCACTTACTAGTTTGCATTTATTCCCCAAAATTTGGTTTTGATTGATCAATGTATGGTTATTTTAGAGGGTGTGATGGGCGGACGAACTAATGGAAGTTACAGAATTTTATATATAGATAGATTGATACAAATGGAGAAATTATTTTATTAAGTTCAATGCCTTTATACTTGAATGCTGATGAATGTTCACAACTAATGTCAAATGTATGTCTCTAATTTTCTACAACATTGATTATCAACAAGAAATACCAGAATACACTCCAGGCCATCTTCAGAATGCCAGAAGAAAACACCGGGATCGTATGTATTTATCCCTGCACCAAGTTTGATCATTCCTTCTTTAAGTCATAGAAATCAGATTCTAGGTGCATCTGCTAATTCACAGACTTTTTGTGTTTCCAAATTTAATTAGTTTTACATTCACATGGTGGACAGAGATAAATGTTTCTATCAATTGGTTTTCCTTTTAGGAAAGCTGTCTTATAAGTGATAGAATGAAAAACCACCCAAGCATTTAAGGCAACCAGGCACAAAGCAATTCATACACTTTCCTGCATGCATGTGGAACAATCTGTTCTAAATACACTGGTCTCTTCAAATCTTCAAGCACATAGTCTAGCTTTTGTTTGCAACTTTCCATCAATAAATGTTAGTGTAATAACCTGTCTTACAGATCTGCTATAATGTCCATTATCCCCAACTTTATCATAAACACAATTTTTCTTCCAACTCTCTAATTCTTTATATTTAGACTGAAGAGTGATTTAGATAAAAGACGGCTATTAAATACCTGAGTATCTGCCAGAAAATGCTATCAGAGTTAAGTATCCTTCTTCTCTTAGCCATTGACCGAACATCAACCTGAGAATTAATAGGGAGGCATCTGCTGTCATTGTTTATTTCTCCTTAATTTTCTAAGTTATCCATCAGGTTGTCTGGCTGTTTTGATTACTGCCACCCAGCCTTGCCATTTTACTTATGTCATCTACCATGAAGCAACTGTGAAGAGACGAGTGGCAGCCATATTTGAACACACAGGTTATGGGACTTGCTACCATGCCAATGGGAATGTCAGGTATGTGAGAAAGCATTCAGATCATTAAAAATTTTAGTTTCATGCCTGCTTCAAATGGTGTTCTGCTTTCACAAGCTGTTTGTAGCAAATTGAAATCACACCCAAATCCTCTACAAATACAACTTTTGGCACTACTTAAATAGAGTGGTCCACTCAAAAAAAAAGTGAGAAACTTTTTTCTTTTTTTTTTTTTTTTTTTTTAAAATAATTTTTTTTTTTTTTTTTTTTTTTTTTTTCAAATAATTTTTTTTTTTTTTCAAATAATTTTTTTTTTTTTTCAAATAATTTTTTTTATGTTAGCATTCCTTAAGCTGTAACACTTGCCACAATCAGAAAATATTATTTAGTTGTTGATTTAGAAGTGGGGTCCTGTATATAATAGCAACAGTGTAAAATCAATCTCTGACTTTGAAGAGTTATAGGGATTGTTTGAAACTGGGTTTTTTTTGTCATTGATATCTATCTGCATATAAGATTTTTTTTTTTTTAACAAAATGATTTTTACAAAAGAACAAACAGATATATACATTTTTTTATCTCACAATAAATAATAATAAATATTTTTAGTGAATAAAAATAATAAAAATAAAACAAAAAATAACGAAAAAATAAAAAACAAAAAAAATAATTAATAAATTTTTTATTTCTATTATTTTTATACAAATATATATATTTTTTACCTTTACATCTACATATGAGATTTTTTTAAAGAAAAAGATTTTTACAAAAGAGCATTTTTGTGTGTTTTCTTTCAAGAAAATAATTTAAACAAACAATAATAATTGTCTGAAAAACAAGAAGACGGACTTTGTTCATTTTTATTTCTTTAACAAAAATTTCTCATTAAAGAACAAACATATAGAGACATGTTTAAGTAGAGAAAATTCTATTTCTGAAGAATAATGAATATTTAGGGTTGGCTGTTGAATGTCCAAATTTACACAAATGAATAAAAGTAGATAATAAATCCATTTATTCTTCATTTTAAGATAAATAAAAAATGTGAAACATGATTTTTGTCCTTTGGTAACAAATTTTATTTCTTATTTGCTTATGTCTAGAAAATATAAAAAAATGATTAATATTTCCTTTAAATTTTAATTTTGTGAGCAGGGTAATGATATTTCTGAAAACTGATTTGATTGAAATTTGCAAATGGGAGCAAACTAGTAACAAAATGACCTATGGAGCATTTATTTATTCTTGGATTCACTCAAAGTAGTAACAAAATGACCTATGATGCAAAAGTAGCATTTATTTATTCTTGGATTACACAAGAACATTCTTGTTCACTCAACGTAGGAACAAAATGACCTATGATTCAAAAGTAGCATTTATTTATTCTTGGATTACACAAGAACATTCTTGTTCACTCAACATAGGAACAAAATGACCTATGATTCAAAAGTAGCATTTATTTATTCTTGGATTACACAAGAACATTCTTGTTCACTCAAAGTAAGAACAAAATGACCTATGATTCAAAAGTAGCATTTATTTATTCTTGGATTACACAAGAACATTCTTGTTCACTCAAAGTAAGAACAAAATGACCTATGATTCAAAAGTAGCATTTATTTATTCTTGGATTACACAAGATAAACAGCAAACAAATTTAGAAGTGAGTAGTTTTTTGTGATTTATGCTTATACTCTAAATTATTTCATGAATTAGCCCCCCCCCCTTCACCAAATATAGTCCTCCATCATGTTTTTGTTATATGATCCTTGGTAGTGGCATTCAAAATCCAGTCCATCCTCTGCTGGAAGTGCTTGCCTTGCTCCTCTAAGTATGCTCCTATGTTCTCCTTGAATTTATCAAGATGAGTGTCAAGGATATGAACTTTGATGCACATCCTGCAGCCTATTCTCAAGGGTCTCAACAAACATAGTTTTTGGCTTTGTGATTCCCCCAGGAAGCCCTGAACCTCTGCAAAAAGGCTGTTCCATGCTGCTTTCTCTATCCTAGTGAGCTTCTTGGAGAATTCCTTGCACTCTATGACTTTCTTTATTTGTGGTTTAATGAAGACATCAGCTTTGACTTTTGTTGCAGACAACTTAGAGAAGTCTGAAGGTACTTGAAGGCTGCAGACTCTTTATCTAGAGCTGTGACATTGTTTCATAAAGCCCAATTTTAAGTGCCGTCGAGGAAACACTACTTTCCAGGGGTTCAACAGTGAATCCCATTTCACGTAGTCCCCCCCACCACTGAACGGGGTCTGCTATAGCCAGTCCTGTCTGTGGTAGTGTTATACTAGAACACACCTATACTATTGTTAATAGACTCTCTCACCTATAATAAGTAGGAGTAGTAGCAGGGCTCGGTGAGTTAGTCAGTCAGTCGATGTCGGCCGACCGTTAGTCGGATATTAAAGTATCAGCCACCACAACTAGATTGCTGCATTATTAACTACCATATCAAGTTCCTAACGTTTTGTACATCGAACCTATTTTAGGACCGACTTAGTGAAATACAAGCCTCCACTGTGAAACTACTCTATAACAGGTAGTGTGCTGTGATGTCACTTCTGTCCCAAAGGCAAAGATAACACAGAAACTTGGTAAAGCCGCTTTGGAGACCCATCAGGAAGGCCACCATTTTGAAATCTCCAATAACCTTCTGACCTTACTCTTCATATTTCAAGGCATCTAGCAAGATCTTGACACTGCTGTATTTTTCTTTGAGTTGCACCAAGTGAGCCAAGGGAAGAGATGGTTACATGTTTCTATTATTTAGAAGCACGACTTTGAGGCTCCTGGATGAGCTGTCAATGAAGAGGTGCCACTCACTGTTGTTACAGGCGATTCTAATTGCCTTGAACAGACCAATCGCATTGTGGCAGAAGCATACTTTCATCTAACAAATTCCACTGCTTGAGTCTTGATGTCAAAAACTCAGCATTGGACTTTGTGAGAGCAAGATCTCTGATTAGGTTGTTGTAGTCTTTTTTGGTTACGGTTATATAGCTTTCTCTTGTCACTTGTGCCTCTGTAATCTGGACCAATGACTTCATCCTCTTCTGAATTGTTGTTCTTTTCTGAAGACAGTTGCTCACTTTTTGAATAAGTGGGTACCAGGTACTCAGGACAGTGTGTCACTGGGATGGATGGATGACAGATATTCTGGATATAGCAGGTGTATTCTTGCCAGATCAACATTTGGAAGGGTCCATCAATCAGAAGAAGTAATTTCTTGAATGGTCAGTTGCTTCCCTCCAAATTCATGGGAATACAAATTTCATGACATTTTTTTCCCCTTTATACCATAAACAAAATAAAAATATGAATATAAAAACACAAATATATTTCACCCAGTGTTATTGAAAAATTCTAAAATATTACATTTTTGAGTTTTGAAATTTCTAAAAATCATATGCTTGATATGTGAAATCTTGACTTTGGACTCTAATTAATTTAGCAAATGCCACAAAAATATGGAATCTTGAATACTGAACATCCCTAATATTCCGTATTTTTATGTCTCTTGCCTGTGATCCAGTATAGAAAACATCCCTGATACTGTGGACACTAATGTGCAATTGTTGAAACATATTTAATACATATTTTTCAATAACACTGGTTTAAAAAAAAAAATAAAAGTAAAAAAAATATTTAAATTAAAAAAGAAACCCCAAACTTTTATATTTAAAACTTCCACTCTCCAAACAAGCAAAACTTTCCATCTTACCTTCTAGAGTTCTTTTTCAGAATTTGCAGGTGAAATGAGGTGCCCAGGGTTTGTCTTGATCCCTGAGAGGGTATGCTGAAAAATGGGCCTCACACATTTTAGCAGATCTTGCCACAGGGTACTTGCTTGTTCTTGTCTTGGTAAATTTGCTACAGACATAATAAGATTTGTCTGCCAGATGCTTACAACCTCCTTGATGACGTCTGTGATGAATGCATGTATCTGCACTTAGACAACTGAACTATTGAACTTACATTTCCTGTATTTGTATACGAACATTTGTGTTGCCAGAATGTTCTAGAAATTCTTGAAAGTTCCTGAAAATTCTCTTTCAGAAACTTCAGAGTTGAATCTGTCTGGAATGTTATAGAAAATAGGTTAATTCCAAAACATCAATGTCCAGGTAATGAAGTGGCGGTGGTGGTGGTGGTGGCAGCGGTGTAGTAGTAGTAGTAGTAGTAGTAAGAAGAAGAATTGGCTTTGCGTTCTAGACTGAAGTAATTAGGAAATAACACTTATTGAAAAAGTTAAAATTTTGTTACACAGTGTAATTAGTATATTCCAATGTTTAAAAAACAAACTTTTAAGGATTTTGAAAATTAAAAAAACAAATCAATGCAGATCTTAATGACGTTAACACTGTTTCAAATGTGATATTTGTAAACAAAACACGGCTCATTTCTTGTAACTCTGTAAAAGTGAAATTGATCTCTGAATTTGAATTCCAGTCAGGTTAGTTACATTCACTTGGGAATGCCCTTGGGAAAGGCATGAATCCATCTCTTTTCTCTCCATCTATGGGTTGAATAGCGAGATAGACTGGAGTGGGGGGTCTTATAACCTCCATTGGCAACTAGTTTACTACAGAAAGAAACGTCAGCCTACTGTAGGAAAATCTTCCATTTGGTCATGAAATGAAAGAGACAGGATTGCACAAGCGTGTATCACATATGAATTGCCAGTTTATGCATACATTAGTTTAACTATACTTAAAAAAAAGATAGCAGTATTTAAGTAATTTTGCAATTTTTTTGTTAATAACTTCTGCATGAGGACTCTAGGATTTAACATTTATCTCTTTTGTCAAAGAATTTGTCTTTCTAAGTCATTCAAAGTAAAAATATCCATAGAAAGCCAACACAAAAACAAAAGCCCTAAAAAGCAATTGTATTAACAACCTGATCCTCCTTACTTATTAATGGAATATTCCTTTATGTTGTATTTTCATTTATTGATAATGAGTAATCTAACCTGTTTCCCAAAGTGCCATCTCGCTTGTAAAATCAAAATATTCAAGAAGAATGAAGGCATAAACGATGCTAAAATCTAGTCAACTCTTTTAGCTTTTTTAAAGTTGGATGTGTGCAAGTTTAAAATGTATGCAAATGATCCAATTCTAAATAAAGAACACTCAAGAATGTTTCTATGTCGTTCAGCTTCACACTGAAATATTTCTCATTTTCATGTTTTGTTAAACTTCTTTTAATAAAATTTCTGTCAGTTTTATATTTGTTTTTTGCTGTCGACTTTTCCACTTGTTTATAAAATTTCAACAATTTTCATAAGACCTTTTTTTTGTCTAGTAAAAATGCAATTAAGATTGTGAGGTGCAGATATTTTTTTAGATAAACTTTTTTCATTCACTCATTTTTCTCTTTTTTATTCAGTTGATTTATTTTAATTAAAAATTATTTTTTGTTGTTGTTGAGAGATTGCAACTTTTTATGAAGTGAGGGACCCTTATTGTCATTTCTTATAGACTGTATATTGATCCCAGTGGTGGTGTAGAGGCTGATGAGGGAGGAGTCATAAAACGAAGATGGCATTGGCATCAGGCAGGCAGTCACGTGCATGCCCCACCCCTACAACCAATCCATATAGCTCTCAACAAATTCATTGGCATCAAAGTTGTCTCTCAATGTAACATTCAACTAAATTTCATTGCCAAACGAAGAAGCTGCAAAATCAACATGGGGGTCAATGTTAAGGTTTGATATTTTCTTTTTTTTATTTATCTTTCTTCCCTTTTTCATTCTTTCTTTCAGCTTCCTTTCTTCTTTTTTCTTCCATTCCTCATTTCTTCTATCTTTTCAGCTTCTTTTCATTCTTCCTTCTTTCCATTACTTCCTTCTACACATTCTCTTTTGAAACTTTTCCTTTGGGGGCTTCAGAAATATGTTCTCTTTTAAGGAAATCCTGTTTCTTTTCCCAATTCCAAACAATGTTTCTCTTGTCTCATTTGTATTTTCCCTATTTTCACCTCCAATTGTGGAGGTGGGTAAAATTTTTATCCTGTTTTAATTTTTTTCCTTTACTTTTTCGTCTTTCTTTCAGCCTGTCAATGTCTTGAAGCCAACATCAGTTGTAGATGAAAACCATTTCTACCTTGAAGACAAAAAGGCGAACATTGAGTGAGTAACAAGCAATTAGAAACATTAATCCCCTTTTATTGTAGAGTCTCGCTTTACTGATGACATGACGTTGGCTGATTACACTGGAGATATGTTAAGTTCCAGACTGGATAATGAGTTCTGATCTGCAATGGTCTCTTTCGTAATTGGTCAAATCTGAAAAACTAATCACTTACTTCATTTGCAATATTTTTTTTTAATTTCAAGAAACTCGTTATAAAAGATTTCTTCATGTTTCCCATTAAATATACACAGACAAAAAATTCTTTAGTAATTTCTTTTTGATCTTTTTTCTTCAGATGTCTTTTATCGAAAGTGAGGAATTTAATCCAGTATGGTCATTCTCCCAAATTGAAACGAATCCTGCCTCCAATTTACTTGACCAACAAAACATCAAAATTGCAGCAACAAGCAAAACAACTGACTCACACCAAAAAAAGGCCAAAGGTCATTGTGAGATCTGAAATTCCTTCATACCTTTGACTTTTAATTTATATTGTTTTTGGTTTTGGTTTACTAGTTTTCAAGATCATTTGCATCTGTCTGTGTGTTTCTGGATAAATTTCAGTAGAATTCATTCAAAAGTAGAATGTAGGTTTTCTTGTCCCTTGAAGATCTTTCTCCATTTTGTCTTCCCATGATCCTCTCTGTCAGATTAAATTCAGAAAGCAAAAGACAAAGTTTAACCACTTTCCTTTCACCCCAAACAGGTCAAATTTACTTCAAGGCTTTTTGTAGCCATTTGCATTTTTGAAAGTCTTCCTTATTGACGACTCAACTAATTTGTGCCAAATTAGTTTGACCAAAATAAACATTTCATTCTGGGTCAAGAGAAATATTGACATTTGGTGGTGGGGGAATTTTTAACCCAGAAATTTCCATGTGCCTTGTCATCATTTATGGTGAATCTTATTTTTCTAAGTTAAGAGCAGATAATGTTTCGACTGCATTTGATTTTATAAAAAGCTTTTTGGCCTAATCAGTTATTTTTAATTAGAAATTCTTTCATTAATTGTAAAGTCAATCTTGAATTCATGAAATGTCATTTTTTTTTAAGAAGGAAGTGAATCTCTGTTTATCAGCAACCATTTTGTCTTTGTCTAAAATAGTAAATAATATGTTACAGTTTTGAATCTGTGTTGTAACTGAAATTTTTTTTTTTTTTTTTTTTTGCTTCATGCTAATGGTTAGTGTTCAAGACCACATAAAAGGCAAGCAGAACCTTCCCATTTGGAAGATTGACACAATACAATCTTCCTTCTGCTTGTATCTCTCCATATGACTTTGCATCAGAGAAAGATCAATATTACAGTTTTATAGGAAACAAGAACCTTCAGTCAATGATCAATCAAGACTGTGTTTGATGTTCTGGAGAATTTTCTGAAAATTTCAAAAACGTGCTTCCATTTTGAATCTCCACTTTCTGTGGATTTTATTTTCAGGGGTTTTTTGCAGGGGAAAAAAAATAAAAACATTTATCTTAAAAAAAAAAGACTTGTGTTTTCTGTGATTCTACAATTGACACCTTGAATTTTTTTTTTCTCATCAAAATCCTGTCAAATATATTTTTTGCTTTTTACCTGCCTCCATCTCTCTTTTATTCTGTTTTTTAAAACAACAAAAATTCAAAAACACAACAAAAACCCAATACAAGAATTTAACAATTTATTCACACAAAATCCATTCACATTTTAACTTCTTTTATCACAGATAATTTCATTATTAACAATTATACTTCCACTAAAAGCAAAAATAAGAAAAGACAGGAAAGATTTTCTAACAAAGTTAAATGATGATAATCATTGTTAGATTCCATTAGTTTATCCAGAATCTTTGGTCGTGTTTGGTTTAGTAATCCAAACTCATCAGTAAGGCTGTACCTCTTTTAATCCAGTGATCAGCAGAATTTTCTCCAGCTTTCAAATCAACAGCCACAACAAAGGAAGCACGGCCTGAAGTCCCGGCACGATTGGGATAATAGTAACAAGGGCAGATGTAGATTCCTAAAGAAAAGAAATGTGGGGAAAATATGAACAAGTCATGGAAAAAAGATAAAAATGTACAAACTCAAGACAATCATAGCAAAATGATTGGTTAGTTGCAAAGAAAACCTTTTCAAGAATTGTCTCAGTCTTCAACTTTTTTTTTTCTTTTTATAATTGAATAATTGTATTTGTCAGTAACAACAAAAGGGAAAATGTTTCACAGCCATCGACTGAAATCTTTTTTGTGTGTGATAAAAAATGAGTTAGGCATATCGAAAACATTGGATAATGAAAACAGAAGAGAATTCATTTCTATAAACGTCTCTGTACTGCTGAGTAAATGTGCAATTTCACCTGAAACTGATCTCAGCTCAGTGAGGTTTAGCTTTTCTCTCATTTTGTCTTACCTAGAAAGTTTTTTTTAACATTTCATGAGATAGAATCAAAATTGGTAAATTTTTACTGCAAAGTTGAAAAACCAAAAAAATGATTTTTATTTTAGTAAAAAAGTGCAAAGAAAAAAAAAAGTGAATAATTAATGCTGAGGTAGGGAAAGGGGGGAAGTGTGTCATTTTAATGTTGTGATTTTATGCAATCCATTTTGGATCCCCTCCCCCATCCAAAAAAATGCAATGTTTGAACTTCTAATTGCTTTCCTGGAAAAAAAAAATTACAAAGTATGAAAGTTGTGCCATTGTTGAAATTTGTGTTTGTTTTTAGTCTCTGTGCACTCCAGTACATTCATGTACTTGTAAAATCTACTTTACCATGCATAATAAAAATATACATGCTATAATGTCAATGAAGATAATTGTGGCTGGACTTTAACATTCCCATGTAAAAATTTTCATAGATTTTTTTTTTTTTTACAATCTTTCACTTGTAAAATCCAACTTGTGCAAATTCTAAAGATCTACTTTGTACATGCACTATGATTCCTTCATGCAATTCTTCAGGGAATCTGCAATTGGTAAAAGTTCTTCTATTGTTCACTGCAATTACAACATTCATCTACATGCAAAATTTACTTTGATATGACCTCAAAGAGTGACACAGTGTATATGGGGGAGAGGTCTGTTTACAATTCTACACAATTTTGCCTTATTTGGAAATTTATGAATATGAAAATTGGTCAAGCGTTTTACTCATCAAACAATTCCAGTTTAGCTAAAAAAAAAGAATAAAATCTTTGTTTGGTTCTCATTTAATTTTCAAAGAAAGAAAATAATGAATATTGGATTTATGAAAACAACATTCATATATTTTGGTTGCAGTAGCCAACCTTTTTGTGAAAGATCCATTCTTGAATCCCAGCATTAAATCCAGAAAGGGAGAGTAGCAAAATAAAGATAAATATTTTGTGGTTGTTGCAACGTTTGGAATATAAAACTAAAATGACTAAAACATACAGACTTCTTTGGCAATTGTCTGAAAAATAGTTAATTATAATGAAATTCTTTAGAGAGAGAGAGAGAAGGGGAAAGAAGGTGGCATTGATTCTTTGAGATTTGTCCATTTCATAGAAATGACACCTGTACATTAGTCTTTTTTGTCAATTGCATTGGATTAAGTTGACAATTCTAAAAGGGAGACAACTTGCAGGAAACTGTACTGCAAGTAGAAATTCTGTAGATAAAATTCAAAATTCACTTAAAATTTGTGAAGTTTTAAAATCAACAATTTTTATTTTAATTTCAAGTTTACAGACATCACCTCATGTGTCCCGCTTAATTTTTATATCTAAACTTTTCATAACGAATATGTCAACCATGAAACCACTTTTATTTTTTCTATGTAGAAAATTGATTTTTTTTGTTCAAGAAATTTTCACTTGCAGTTTTTTTCCCCAAATGTACAGAGAATGGGTTTGGTTTTTGAGACTTAGTTCTTGAAGAAATTGAAAAGAATTCCTATGTGGGTGTCAAAATGGCTAAAATTAAAATTCTTAAATGAAATTTAAATGTCACATGATAATTTATGTTAATTTATGCAAAATGACTAGAAAACTCAGAGGTGGAGTTTTTCTCTCATTGTTTTGCTCATAAAGTTTGTTTTTTTTAACATTTCAGGAGATGACATTAGTCAGTTTTCTATTGCAAAGATAAAAACAAACCAAAAAAAATGATTTTTATTTTAATAAAAATGTGCAAAAAAAAAAATAGTGAATCATTAATGTTAAGGTGGAGAATCGTGAAGTGATGTGTGTGTGTGTGTGTGTGTGTGTGGAGGGAGAGCTTACCTTTCTGCTTGGCTCTTTCTAAGAAATGAAAACAATAAAGAACATTACAAAAACAGACAACATTTTCAATTGTTTCGTATATGAAAATTAGATGTTATTTTGTTCATCTTAAGAAATTGCAATGTAAGAAAAGTGAAGAGTGAATTTTTTTTTATTTTCCATAAATTATTTTGTTCTTTCTTTCATTCAACATGTTGACTACCTACTATAATTATATCTTAGCTATTGCGGTGCTTGTTCTTATTTAGTACTGTTCAGTTATTGCTTGCTTTGTTTTTACTGATTCAAAATCTGCCCCACACAGCCTAGGAATTGAACTCATGCAATGCGACCCCCCCCTCTAAATTCACCTAAAGTAATGCTTTAATCCACTCGGTTATCGTTGTCGTCTTATGCCTGATGAACAAATCATAATGGAAGCTAAAATCTCAATGTGTTTTCGATAAACAGATTGATTGTAAAATATAGAAACAAATGCTATAGAGAGAAATTCCAATTGCAGTCCGTAATTGCATTTGAAATGGTGAAATGTCTTAAACATACTTTGTAAATATTTCCCTAATTGACATTTGAATGGGTTACCTTTCATTGTTTTCTTTTTGTTTTCAACTGGACGGAAATGAATGGTTGGAATGGGACAAACCAATTGCATTGGTTCGGCTTCAATGAGGCATGAATTCTTTTGATCCCAACCAGCGCCTTGCAAGTACAAACCCTTAATGTAGACGCCATCCTGCAAAAGAAAAGCAATCATTATTTTCTGGCATATTTCATTCTCTCAAATAGAAAAATGGCAACTTGTCAGCTTTTTCCAGTTTTTCTCCTGATCTTTTGGGTTTCGTCTTAACAAATGAAAACCTGTTTGTTGTGTGTCCACTTTTAATCTTCATCCAAATGAAAATGTCAATTTACAGCACTTTTATGATTCACAGACGATTTCTTTTCAAATTTTCTAGCATTTGGTACAATGAAATGGCTTGTATTCTGTACAAATAACGAAAAAGATTGTTTTGCAATCACAAAAACAAAATGTTCCAAATATTTGGAAATAGATTCTTTTAGAAAGAATATAAGTAAAACAACAACAACAAAAAAGAAATAATTCACATTTTAAACTGGCTTTAAGAATTCTTGATTCTTTTTTCTGTTTTTTTTTAGTTAAAATGGTTGTCCTAAGTATATTTGCCAAAGCTTAGATGCATTTACAAAGGGCAGTCGATAAAATGTTTGGGATCAATGCAAAATTAAATCTCTGTGTGCAGGAATAAATTAGTGGCTTCATAAAAAAAGTTTCTTTTTTGTTTTTGTTGTTAGAATTTTCTCAGGTTTCTGATGTGTGTGTGTGTGTTTTCTTGCTGCTTTGATTGACTCTTGTGAAGAAATGTTCCAGAATTTAACAACTGATCCTACCTTTGGGGGTCCCATGATGTTTGAGTCATTGACAGTCATTACAGTGAAATCCCAAGAAAGTGTGTCCACAGAGATCTGAAAAAGAGGAACAATGCGTATTGTCACATACATACATACATATAGATGGATGCATGCAAATAGGATGCTGAAGTCTTGAAGTGATTTCAGAAGTTGATGCATTGATTTACATCTCCATCTTACAAAACACTAATTTTGACTTGATGGATTTTGATTAACTGATTTGCATTTTATGGCTTATCAACCGTCTGTAGGTTATTTAAAGCCAGAAAATATTTTTAGAATGTAAGAATGTTTTCAACATAATGATTTACTGATACATATACTAAATAGCCTATAGTTGGCGGGGAGAAGAGTTGGACTTATACCTTTGCCAAGAGTATTTGTGTGTAAGTGAATATAATGAACCTGACTGGAATTAGAACTCGGCTCTCTGATTTCCAATTTTGAGCCATTATCCATTACACCACCCACACATCAAAACTTACAGCACCTGGTATTCCTAAGCGATCACCCATCTAGGTACTGACTAGGTTCGATGTTGCTTAACTTCCGTGATCATACAAGAATCAGTGTTTAAACATGATATAGCTGTAAGTTACTGTCTTGTTGGAGAGGAACTCATCTGTGTGTGTATGACCTGACTATTTATGGAGATGCAAATATCGTCTGAATGCATTCAGTAATTATTATTATTATTATATACATAATTCTAAGAGACTTAAACGGAAGATTTGTTTAGAGTTTTTGGAGAATAGAAATCAGAATTTAGTCAGACATGCTTTACTGTTAAACTACAAAAATGATGACATTTTGTTGAGGAGGAAAAAAAAAAAAAGGAAAAAAATCACATTTTTTTTAGAGCTTTCCCTTTTTTTCACAATACAAAATTTACGAGCAGAAAATTTGTTCGTCTTTCTGAGAAAACTGGTTAATGTTCAAGAAAAGAAAAAAAGGGCAAGGCAGCTGTAAACTTACATTATTTTGTCGAGCAGATGTTTGCAAAACTGCAGTTAGAAAGCCTGTAGGGAAGGTGAAGCCAGATAACCAGAAAATGGTGGGAGCATGTGCCGTCTCTGCCCATTTACTTAATTGATCCATACGTTGAACCAAATCTCTGGTCCATGCAGACAAAGGTTTTAAACTTGGGTAGGCCTGAAGTTAAGAAGATAAAGAACAAGAAAAAAAAAATTTAAGAAAAATCAATTTAATTACAAAAGTGAAAATTTGAGTGAATTTTATGACAAGGCCCCAAAATCCTGTCAATGTAGTTGTTAGATGAATTATTTAGTGGCTTAAGAGTCCTAGACAATGACTTCCATCTGAGCAGGTAAGATCATTAATTATGGGAGAATGATTTATTCATGAACCTCTCTTGTGACATAACAGTGATAAGACTTTAATCAACTGATGATAAATGATACAGCAAGTCTCAACAGGAAGCCATAGTTCACTAATTTCATTTTCCAAACTGATTAGATTTTCCACAATGATACACTTGGAAAATTCTGGCTAATTCTTTTCCTCTTTGGTCCCTTGATGTTACAAATTTAAGTGCAGTACTAGATTGGCAGGTAGGTCTCATCCTTTTACAGTTGAAATTGCTAGATGTAGCCATAAATTCTATGCTAACAGTTTCTTCTGTGAAACTGTCTTCTGGCCTCTTTTCAATCAACTTTGATCGTAAAAGAATTTAAAGGCAATGTCAATTGTTATCTGTCTTCTTAATTCTTGTTATTTTCTTCTTCTCTCTCTTTAATAGTGTATTTCTTTTTCTCATTCTTTCGGACTCAGTAACCTGTTGCTTCTTAGTGGCTTTATTGCCTTGCTTGGGGTGAAATGATAAAAATAAGAAGTAACTACAATTGAAATCTGTTATTAACTATGTGAATATTTTTATATTTTCTCATGCCATTCTCTCAGCATGGAAAAAGGAAAGTGTTCTTATCTGAACACAGACATTGATGGAAACGACACCACAAATCTTCAAGAGAAAGAATCCCAGTTAGAATTTATTCTTTTTTATTTTTGCCTTCGTTGGAAAATTAAATCTTTTTAACAACAAAAAAACTTTGACTTCTCTTTTTTTGATTCTCGGCTGCATTTTCTTCGTCAACCTTGAAAAGGAAACCTGTGAAGAACAAACTTACCCCCAACAACTTGCAAGGCACACCGAGTAACATTTCCCAGCTTTTCTGCTAAGGGACAATTGTACAATTTGATAAACAATTTTTAACACAATACGACCGATTTAAAGATCAAAGCCACAATGGACAATGATCATGTTGGCTGCTCTGAAATGATGCTAGTCATCAACTGGAGGAAATCTGCTAACCTTTTCCCAGCTGCGAGGGACACGCCCATCAAAAATACAGAGAAAAATCATCTCCAACTCCAATGTCATCACCACCAAACCTTGGATGCCTTTTTCCAAATCCTTTAGAGACGTGCGAATTTCATTCATCAAAGTATTGTAACGTTGGATCTGCAAAGAAGAGACAAAAAAGAAGTTCATGATGTGTGTGTGAATGTTGTCAAAAGTTGATAAAAACTTTAGACCAATAAGGTTTATCCTGTAAAAAGTGTATGGCCTATGTCATAGGGCTCAAAATTTATATTTTTTGATTTAGAAATCTTTCCATTCAAATAATTTTCTTAAGAAAGCAATGTCAAAAGACAAATAGAAATGCTTACTTCTTGTAGCAAAACAACATTGAGGGGAGATGGATCAACAGAAAGGATCTTTCTTGTTCCTTCATAGTCAATGTTATCTGGAATTTGCCGAGCGATATTGGCTGCTAATTCCAAGACCTGGGGAAAATACAAAACTTAAAATAGAAAAAACTTGAATGTTTGGGGGCAAAGAAAAGATAAATATTTTTTTTTTCTTTTTTGCAATAAGATCATCTTTTTTCTTTTAATTATTTCACCTCAAGCAAGGCAACAATGCAACTAAGACACAATGGGTTACTGAGGGTGAAAGAATATAAGAAAAAAGAAAAACATTAAGGAGTGAGAACAATAAAAGAAAAGGAATTAAGAAGGCAATAGATAATGATTGACATTTAAATTTTTGATTGGAAAGTAAGAAGCCAGAAGAGAGTTCCACAAGTGAGAAAAGAAACTGTTAGCATAGAACTTAGCGATTACATCTATCAGTCATTTCAAGTGTAAAATGATGTGACGTTGCTGCCAATCTAGTACTATGCTTAAATTAATAAAGTTTAGGTATCATAGAAGTTCATTTGAACAATTACCTTGAAAATATTTATAGAAAAGGCCCAGGGAAGCTACATTATTGTGGTGGGAAAGTGATTGAAATTAGGATGCCAGGTCAGGACCAATAATGAAAACACAATTGCAAGAAAGTGAATGAAAAAAAAAATGGCCGTGCAGCAAAGAACAAAAGTTCATCCAATGTGAGAGCCAAAAACATGAAAAAAATTAGATTTTCACAAAACCTTAAACTTGTAGACCTTCAGATCTGGAACTGAAATTTAGTTCTAAACATAACTTCATATCTTTCTCGTGTGTAGAATGTTTAAATTATAATTTTCCCACTTTACACACACTTTTATATGTAACATCTTGAAAGGATGTGAACAATCAGAGCTTCTCTACAACTTGTCTTTTGTTACTCTAAGTAAATTACACGATTATCACTCATCTTTGTTCTACTGTTCATTTAATTTTTCTTTCCTTCAATGTCCTGTGTGTATTATATTCTCCAAACCTTCTTTCCTAATTATGTGTCTCTTTCTGATTGTTAACAGTAGTTTCTTTGTGTTGTCTTTTCTTGTTTCTTCATTTTCTCCCCCATCCTCTGCCCATGATATTCTCAACCACACCCTTTTGTTTGCTTTCAACTCTTCTCTTCACAGTGAGAAAATTGTCCAATATCCAGAGACATAGTGAAGAACTTCCCCCAACTCTATTTTTGGAAGCCATTTTCTAAATAAAGCAAGGTAAATATTGTACAGCTGAAGTAGAAAAAAAATTTCTCAGTTATTGAAGTAAATGTTAATCTTGCACAGACAAGAAAAATTTTCAGAAAACCTTAAAGACATTCTAGTTTTTCAATAATAAAATAATTTTTGAACCTCAAAGAGAACTTTTATCGAAATGAAGAAATATCACAGAGACTGTGAAAATAGTTAACTCATTGAAATATTGTGCTGCACATATAGGACGTGATCGTATGAAATAATTAAAAATCTAAACAGTAAACGGTTTTCTCCTGAGAAAAAGTCACTTTCACTGAATGAAACAGAAATTCTGTAAAGGAGAAATGTCTATCTTGTTTATGATTCGGTAAAGTGAAAAGAAAATCCTTTCAAAAGAGATGAGCCGATTCTCAGATGATGAAGTCATGCAGAGTTGTGCATATGTGATTTTGATAGAAAAAGATTTTCAAAATGGTGAATGAAATTTGTGCAGAGTGGAGTGGTTTCATTTTTTTTTTGGATTCAAAGAATGGCACTCACCCCCAAATCAACATCCCTTGGTTCCTGCAGAAAAAATCCCTTTTGAAAAATGGATTTCTTTAACATTGACAACAGAATTTATTGCTTCAAATAACAAAGAAATTATATTTTTTGTTTTCTGAGAAAAAAAATTATTTTGACATTTTTACTGAAAAAAAAAAATGAAAGTCAAAATCAGAAATTGTCATATTACTGGGCATTTGAGGAGATTACTATTTGGGTTAACTCCATAAAAAAATCTTGATTTACAAAGAGAAATTCTTAATTTTCTAATGAGTGTCCAGTTATTATGTAATTTATGTAAGGATGTATTTTGTTTTCTCTACTCTGCCTAATTTGATTGGATAAAGTTGGGTGGAAAGAAGGAAAAATGATTGTACCTTGTCTTCTCTACTCTCCCCAACCTGTGCGGACACTTGGGGTTGGAGAGAAAGCAAAATGTCAAAGAGAAGTCGTGTCTCCTGAATCTGCGACGTTATGTCAGCATTGGGATGTTGACCAAAAGCTTCAGGGTGGTCCATGTTAGGCAGCATGCTTACATATTCTTTATAAGAGGAAAGTGGACCATCTTTGGGAATGTAATAGAAAGGCAGAGAGGAAAGTCTGTCAATAAAAAAGAAAGAAAAAAAAAGAAACATGTTAAGAAAAATATAAAGAAAGAACAAAAGGAGAAAATAAGCAGGATGAATGCAATAAAAGGGAAAAAGTTTAACAGAAAAAAAAAAAAAATCTTGTGTCAAAAAAGACAGTTTTTCTCTTGAAATCACTATTACTCTCTATAATCCCTCAGCAAATTTTATTGTTTTAAAAAAAAACTATATTTAGAATTTTAATCAAACACAAACATTTGGAACTTGATGTATATGTTTTCTTTTTTTTGAGAATTGACAACAATAAAATATTAAACACCATTTATTAATAAAATTTGTGTATTTACAAGAATGAATTTTATATTGACAAGTAGATAAAAATACATGAACCAACTACAATGCAATAAAGAAATAAACTATGAAAATAAATGTTTTTTTATCCATAATTTTATAAAAATGTCTGAACAAAAAATGTTAAATAAATGTAAACCTACAAGTAACTAATTATAAATTTTGAAAA